CAAAAAGGATGCCTCCTGGGCTCTTCTCTTTGGCAGTTTTGCAATCAAGTCCAGCTAAAAGGACACTACCCTGGAGTGGGTCCAGAATGCACTGTGGAGATGATTTATCTCATCTAGTGTGAGAACACCTTGGGATCCCCAGTGAGGCGTGGAAAGTGTTACTGGGAAGAGTGATGTCTGGTGCGACACAGGTCCGGTCCCAGGTAAGCTGGAGAGGGGGAAGCAGGCAGGTGGGAAATCCCAGCATTAGGATGTATCCTAAATTCACGGCCAAAATTACATCTACTAGAAAGAGAATGCTAGCCATTAAGTACAGTATGTTCCCAGCTAATATCCAGGGCTGCCAAGTTTCAGACAATGACAAGAGTGAGACTTCAGCGTTATGATGCGTTCAGCCGCCGACCTGTGGTCAGCAGCGGAAAAAAAGGGCCTTTTTTTAACGTTGATTTATACCTTAAGACTGATGTCCTCGCCTCCATGCCAGCTGCTCTCCCTGCAATGTGGCCTCCCATTTGCAACAATGGGTAGCTACCTACCGTCCGTTTTCAGGAGAGCAGGAGAACGTCGAGTTTTAAATGTTGGCGCTGTTGTGTGTGAAAGATAGAGACGCCAAGACCCGCTTAATGCTGCTTCTAATTGAGTAATATTGCGCGGTGCCTTCTGTGGTTGGTTAGATTTAGGCACAAAGGACCGATGGATTGGTCTGGGATTGGTTATCTCGATCAGTCAATCAGAATTACTCGAAATATGGCAAGCCGAGTTTATTATCATGAAAAATAAATAAATACAGAGTATTGAATGAGGAAAGATAAGTGCGAGAAATGTCAAGTGTGGCGTGTGGAGCGAGAATGGGTCACATTGTGCAACTGTCACACTCAAAGCATGACGTTTGGCAGCTCTGTAATATCATATCAAGTAGGTCGTAAAATCGCATCTAACACAACTCTAGCTCGGAAGTAGCCTACATTTCCAGCTTTGGTTATTCATGCGAAAGGTGGGAATTAAGAACCACATTGTTTTCTACAAAGTTAACTTCAGAGGAAAAAAAAATTCCTGACCAACATTACATCAGCAGTTCATTTCTATTGCGCTGTTAGCAGTTACTTATTAGGCTGTAGTGCTCAAAATAAGTTTTAAAACATGATTTTTGGGTTTAAACAGACAAATTTTCCTCATTAGTTTCCTTGTTTCTTGCCTTGTGTTGCTGATGAGTGGAGAGGCGTTAAAATACGAACAATCTGTCTGAGTTTATACATTTATACAACCTCTGAACACATCTGGAGCACAGCAGTATGATATTCGAACAACATTCGAGCACCTCACTCTGAGTAGAAAATGTGAATATGATCAACTAATCTTTGACAGTTGCCCCTCTGGAAACACACATTAAGTGGAGGTTATGGGTTCAGTAATGTTTGCTCAGCGTGTCCCTCGTGGCTGGAAATGAACGTTTCAGTGAACTTGACAATTTTGACCTTTTTCTTCTCTGCACTTGTCCTGCATTCAAAAAGCTGCGGTTCATGAAAAACAACCGAAATGCCACATTTGTTATCGTCCAAAAATGGGCAATTTGAGAGAATTCCAGCATGTGATCACAGCTCAGCAGCTCTCTGAATCGTACCTTTGTTTCATAATGAGAGGTGTCTGAGCTGTTGTCGAGTACAATAACCCTCTTAGGGGATGATAGAAGCTGAAAAATTCATTCAACATTCATTCATTCATTCATTCGTCTTTACCTCCTACATCAAGAACGGTTAATCACAGTTAGGTATAATAGATCAGATTGGCTCTATCTCTTTGATTGCTCTGATGGGATTCATGCCTGACTGCATCTCTGAGAACCTGCAGCATGAGGTGAAACTGCAGGAGCCCTTTATCCAGAGCTTTGACAACCCCACAGACCCCTAAGCATAAGACATTAAGATTCAAATTGTAGTAAAGATTACAGCGCCTCTATAAATTACTTATAATAGGAGCCTTATTATACCACTAAGAGTTTCTGTTTGATCTCATGCAGTAACACTAAAGTGTCATCCTGGGTTTCAAGGTTTTTATCCAAACTATTCTTTAGAGCTAATGTCGAGAAGTGTTTAATTAGAGTGGATTTGCTGTTTCATTTTTAAAGGCGTTTGTTGACTTATTGAAGAGGTTTTCTCACTCGCCTCACTGGTATTAAAACATGGCGATAAACGACTTTATCTCTCCTTGCATTTGCAGTACGGGTAAATGTAGGCACCACAGCCCCAAAACAACTACTTTGAAAAATCAGACTGAAACACACAGATGTATTAATGAGATGTCAGGTATGTTACATATTACAAACTGAAAGAATGACAGCTAAATACTTTGACATCCTGAAGTCTCAGATCTCTCTCTGTGGAGTTAGTGTTTCAGGCTTTATCGCTCCTCTGTGGTCTTTTCCTTTCTTATCTTTTTAAAATGTTATTTTTTCTTTGCTCAAGATTGTCGACAGTTCTTCAGCTGTTGCTTCATCTGCCGTCTCTGCGTCTTGAGGAGAGCTACCTTAAAAAATCAGAGAAAAGCACCATTGTCTTCTGACAATAAATGTCATCCTGCTGATTTAAGACAGTCACATGTATCATGTAATGTGAGGAAAACAGGACCTTTTCCTCAGCCAGTGGACTGACACCTACATCCTAGCAGTTCAGGCATCAAAAATTAGTGTATGAAGAAATTTTAATTTTGTGGCTGATAGTAGGACTGGGTGATTTGACAAAAAAAAAAAAAATGATCACAATATACTTTGTCATACAGACCAATCTCGATTACTATCACGTTTTTTTTAACTGCCTGTTTTAAAGCATCTGTACTAAAAACTGAAGAAACTAGAGATTAGTTCAACATTTTATTTACATACAAAGTAAATAACAAAGCTAATTGAATAAAATACACTGAGAAAAATATAAAAAACATTTTAACTCAACAGTTCAACTAATGTAGATACATACTAAATAATACAGTGAATTAGTTTACAGTCCTGAGTGTTTTGCAGGTGTCCAAGACCCAAAATAAACAAATGGCCCCCTCAGGGAAAATGAAGACACTTTTAACTGTAGACATTAGATGACGTAAATGTAGATGATTCGATTGATCGCTGCTTTCATCTGGTGGCTTTACCGCTAGTTGTGGCTAAACTGCTAATGCTAATTATGCCAGTTGCAGGCTGTGCAGACTCCGCTCGCATTTTCATGCTTTCCACATAATCACTCAGGAAGTACTTCTTCAAATGATAAAACAGATCTGTTGTGTTGCTGGTTTTTGAGGGAACCGAACACCGACATACCTTACACACCAGTGTAATTGCTTGACGTCACTTTGGAGATACCTGAACCACCGCCACACAACTGACGCTGTGTTACTTTTCTTTTCAACAATGGCATCTTCAAGTCATGGCTGACATCTATTTTGCTGCCTTCAGCTCCACATTTGGTCATTCTGTTTACTTTCCTGGTTTACTTCTCCAACAACTTACAGAAGTGAGCAGGGGAAGCTCAAATCTGATTGGCTGTTGTGACGCACATTTCCGCCATGTTTGATCGAGTAAAAATGCTCACAGCTGATCACCGTGATCGAACTGAAACTTATCAGAATCATTAATCACAATCATATAATCAGACAATCAGTCCTAGCTGGTAGTCTTGTTTGGAACATGGAACCAACATGGATTTCAGTCCATTTCAAGAATGTCAAAAAACTCTCACAGGAGCTTTAATATTTTGATCCATTAAAGCCTGCATGTCTATTTCCTCTGTCACTGTTTTTTTTTTTCTTTTTCCCCTAACACATTGATGCCATCCCAGGGTCATCAGTCTTGTGAGTCATCAGTGCAAACACGTGGGCAAACAGTGAGAAACTGTGTGGAAAGCAGATGTAAGGACAGTGTCATTTGTAAGTGAGAACTTTTAGCACCTCTGTCCTGTTACTTTGTGAAATCTGCTAAAAAAGAAAAAACAACAATCTGCAAAATGAATGTCCTTTCCCTCACTCTTCAATAATGTCCATCTACAGGACATCTCCATCGACCTTCACTGAGGCTCTTCTGAAGATACTTTGTGAATAAAGACTTGAGCAAAACCCTGTTTTTTTATTATTATAACACATAACAGGATCATAGAGCCAGCGAGGAATTACTTTCATTCACCCCATCATGCATGCTTCAACATGTATACCCTCGTCAAACAGATGTGATCATGATTTAATTACGCGTCTTAAATAGTGCAATACGCAAGATGAAATTATCTTGTTATGAATGAGTCTTATTATAACACACCATTACCCATCTCACTCGGCTTTTAAAGGCATGTAAATAAAGTTATTTCACCTGAACAAGCACATTATTAAATCAATCTGAAGTGTGTGGAGTCCAGCACATTTGACTTCTACCTGTTGAAGCTTCTGTTTGTATCATAAATTGGTGAAAGATCTCAGTCTCTCTCAGGCTGGTGGGATACCTGGCACAGATGTGAGAGCAGCCTGAGAAGGAAGAGGTCTCCAAACCATCTCTGACAGAGAGTAAAAGCCAGACTGTCCTGCAATTCAGGCAGCGGCAGCAGCAGCTAATGTCTGCATTTCTAAGCTGCTGAACAGAACAAAGCAACCTCAACCATCAGTGGTGTTGTTTTCACTTTGGTGTTAAAAGTTTCCTAATTTATGTTTAAATACTGTTTATATGTCAGTCATATGTCAGGAAATGCCAACATATTTCCTCAAGATTTTTCTTTGTCTGATTAATAATCCACCATGGAAATGATTTCAGGAAATAAAAACGACAAAAAACAAAACGGAGCTGCAACAAAATCTCTTGATATTGATTTATTTTTCCATTAGAAACAAGAAAAGTAGGAAATTGTGACTCACAATTTCCAGGAAAGCAATTTCACATTTCAAAATGTGTTTTGCTGTCCAACAAACCAAAGATACTGAGTGTGTCATATAATAAAACAGAACATGAAGGGAAATATTTCTATTATGAGTCTATAGTTCTATTAGCGTATTTCTTCTTGGAAAAATGTTAACATTCTTGTGAATTATATTTCTCTGCTCCATTATTTAATTGTTTGAGCAGCGGGACAGACTTTGTTGTTTTATCAGCCTCCTCTTCAAGTATTGTGACCTTGAGTTTGCAGGATTTAAAGGTGAGAAAGTGAAAGTGTGATTTCCTTCCCTGCAGGACTGTAAAGGAACATTCAGCTTCATGCTACACCAAATCCCATCTGCAACACTTGTGTGCGTAGGTGGCTCAAAGTATGTCCGGGGAGGCTGCCAGCACACACTGCTGTGGGGAGAGAGAGAGAGTGAAAAAACTGACTCTCCAGCACCACCTGTCTCACGTGGGTAACTGATGAGTACAAGGTGTGCGTGTGATGGCGTGAGCACCCATTTATCTGCAGATGAGATGAGTAAGCATTTTCACCTGTTGTGTCATCCTCAAGTGCTAATTATGCGCTCAATTTTCTGCTACAGAGAGCAAAGTGAGACCAAATTTATCACGTTTGGCTGAAAATAGATCAGAAATCTGCAGTTTCACTGATTCTTTGTCACAAAATGTGGTTGTATTGCTTCTTTTTTTATGTTTAGACAGTTGTGTGCTCTTGCTTGTGTGGGGAGGTGCTTTGCTGGTGCTTTCCAGTGCCTGCTGTGGTTTGGCAGGGAGACACTGATGGCTCCTGAGCCGAAGAGTGCCTCAGGCAGAACTCAGGCCCGACAAACCCTTTTGAAGCAGGCGCATGACTCAACAGAGCTGAAACACACAAAAAATACTCATCGCTCATGGCCTGACCTTCTGTGTGATTTAAAGCCATCTGAGTCCTGAGCTTCAGTCTTTAACGATGTTAAGGACGCTGCCTGTTTATAAAGCTATTTTTCATAACTCAGGCCATGTAAACAGACTGATCGACAATTTACTCAAGAGCTTCTGAACCCTCTTGCGAAGGCCTGATCCAGGAGCAAAAAAAACACAAGTCCAAGTGATTTTAGGTATTGTTGAAGTGACACAAATAGATCCAAAACACTGTCTATCTTTTCACTATTAGAGGATATAATATTTGCTGCTGTGTTGACTCTCAAAGTTGTGATAAGCTTTGCAACAACAACAAAAAAGTCTTGTATTAGACTCTAATCCTCTGAAATCCCCTTATTGAACTTTGTCTTTGTATTCGATGTCTCGTCAGCACCTTCAGTATTTTAATTGCCTATTTTTTAGTTCAACTTGTAATAAAAGTTGTGGTGAAATAGCAGTGAAAATACCAATTAAAACTGGCTTTAAACCTGTGAAGTGTTCTTTTAATGTCTTTTCATATTATGTAAATTTTAACCTTTTAAATTTTTGGTCTTATTCCTCCAAATTTTCTGTATTTTAAATTGTGTTTCTTATAAAGCATCTTTGAGCACTTGTAGAAGTGCGTTATAAATAAAAGTATTATTATTGTGACAAAGAAAACATAATTGATCGTGGGTCAATGTGGTGCAAGTTAAGGTTCATTGTAAAAATCGACCGTTTCCCCTCTGCTCCATTGACCAGCTTCTGTTTCTGAATCAAATACGAGATGATATATAGTGAACAGGTGATTCCTCAAACTAGAACCACCTCTCAAGGTGAGACAGATCCTGACTGCATCATCCCTCTCCTTACTATTGCTGTCAACAGTTTTACTCAAACTATATAAAAGCAAAAGTCTGTCCTGATCCAGGAAAACAAAGCTAGTGTTGCAGTTATTTCAGTATTAAAAAAACAAAAAAACAAATTGACAAAAAATATATTTGTTGTTGCATCTCTAAGCAAACCTGTATAAAGGTTATTGGAAGAGCAATACAAACGCTGGCTTGGTTAATAAGGAAAAAACAAAATTGGATCAAACTGCTGTCACTTTTATCTCAATTCAAGCCTTCAGGAAATAGTCCAAGAGCTCGTGTTTAACACCCACTCATAGTCCAAGTCCCAGATTTTAGAAATAATCCTGGCCGAGCCTGTGACTACCAGACAAAAGTTTTTTAACAGCTCTTATTTTTTTAATTAGCAGCACTTGAGGTCAGAGTTCACAGTTCTGCCTTCGATGGAATAAAATCAAAAATTATCCAAGTGAAACAGAAAGAAAAAAAACTGTCTAACTGGGCAGAATATTACCAGGAGACAGAGAAAAAGAGAGGGAGGATGCAACGAAGCAGATTCTGTGAATGCCTTTGATACCAGGACACTAATTATACTCACCATCTGCAAAATATTGCACAGAAGTGATTCCCAAGACTGTCGTGTTGTTACGCTTTCATCATGATCACAATTTTCCTCAAGAGAGAACTCCACCATCCAACCTGGGACCAATAAGAGTCTGCAAACGATTCTGTCGAGTGCTGCAGAGTAGAAGTGTGATTATTAGCTTGTTAGAGGTCACAGCAGCTTTCAATTACTTTTGTACACATGTTCAAAATAATCGAAGGCGCTTAATCATATAAAAGAGCAACTCAAATTGCTTAACGGAGTGATTAAACTTTAGAAAAGTGAGGACAGAGACACAGAAAGACAACACGCAGAGGTAAATGAAGACAGAGTTTGTGCAAACGATGAGTGAGCGAGCAGGCTGTTCTGGGTTTTAGGTGCATAAACACTGACTGTTCAAACTCAAACTCGAGATTTACTTTGAATTCTGAGAACTGGTAGGCAACACCTGTCTGTTTACCTGAGAAATCTCCTGGGTTGACAGAAGCAGCTCATATAATCCAAAGCCAGATATTCAGAAATTCACATAGTGGCATCTTGGTATTCCAAATGTATTCATAAGCGGCAAGAAGTGTTGAAAATCATCATAATATTATCAATTTTATTGACTGTGAGAAAAAGACTTAAAGTTGCCATTGTGAGAAGCTGAAATCAAGTTGCATTGAAAGCAATTTAAAACCATTTCAAATTGAGAGGGTGTTTGAAGGGTGCTTTTTATAAAACACTTAAAAACTTCAGAAAAACTCTTAAATGCACCTGATTTGCAATCATACAGAGAGCTGAGATCGATACTACCATGCCATCACTTTGTTGAATATTGAGCTAGTCTAGTGACATTGTGAATCTTCAGGAGTTCTGACGGATGTTTTTGTATGCAGTCCTCACACAACCGTTTTTAATACAGCGACGGCTATAGCTAATGTTTGACGTTCTGAATCTGCAGTGTAAAGTAAAGGTAGATCAAGTACCCCACAAATGCTAAGAGTTGGCTGCTAACTGTTTTTAATTGCATTCATTTATGGGATTTTTCATACCTTTATTCAGAAGTTGGGACAGTGGAGACGGTCAGAAACAGGGAAGACAGAGTGTGGAATGACATGAACCTGAGGCTGCTACCTTAATGACTCCACCCTCAGTAAAGTATATGTGGACTCTAATTTAATAAAACTAACACCTATTTTTGATGTCTGTTTGTCTCCAGAGGGACTGTGTGAACAAGAGTGAGCTTGAAACCTTAACATCAATAAGATTCCACTGAAGACATGGCTGAATACTTGGGGTGTCCCGATACGATATTGATATCGCTATGATATCAGCAAAAAAATCAAATATCAGATTATATCATCCTCCAACTAAAATCTCTGATATCAGCACTCCGATACAAGCAGTCCATTACAGACTCTGCTCCAGCACCTCTATCTAGTAGCATCTGGATCCAGCAAGTAGACCCAACCGAATCACAACAACAGTGTGTACTCAGGTACTAACAAAGTACCAAAGAGTAAGAGTGGTGTTGGCCTTGAGGCAGTATTTTTTATTCAAGTCTGAAAAAGATGTTGCAGCTGAGTGCAAAACTTATCATGCACAAGTTTATGGTAATATCAGATCAATATCGGTATCGCTAATATTGAAGGCTACAATATCGGAATTGTATCAGAGGTAAAAAGTTATATCGGGACACCCCTACTGAATACAGCGTATGACCCTCCATCCAATCACCCCAATCAAGTTGATTGACAAAAATATAAGAAGCTCCAATCATCCAGAGGTTAGTGTTTCACATCACAACAAAGTTTGTTAAATCTGTAAGATGAGGTCGAAAGCCAATAAAGCTGAGATTGTTTTATGAAGGTCAAAAATGGCCTTTAATGTTGGATTTGACAGCTTCACCTGACTACACCGGGATGTCAGAATAGGTTCAACATGCACCCTCAAGACTACAGCTGATGGGGGGCATCAGGAGGACGATAAATTAAGTCCACCACCTTGTGACCTCTCTATGACACGAAGTCATTGTACTCCTCAGCTCTGCTTCATTATTCTACAAACAAACGGCTTTCTGTCAGTCAGCAGGATGAGATGTATTTCTCTTAACAGCATGATAAATTGATCTACCCTGAAATGTTGTGAAATCGTTATTGATTCTCATTGTTCTTTTTTTTTTGTCTAATGAACTTAATTGTTAAGATACTGTTTTAGAGCGCAGATAATCCGATCCATAATAACTATACTGCTAATCCTTCTCCAGAGCCGCTGAAGAAATGTTGCCTTTTCTGTTGCCGTCTTTTCTTTTGGAAATCTCAATTAATTAGTGTTACATCAAAGAAGCAGTCTCACTCTGCAAGCAGGAAATGTAATTAGGCACTAATGAAGAAGAAGAAGAAGAAGACTGTACTTCTTTCATTCCTTTACAGCGACACTGGAGGCTTGCGTCACATCAATATCTCACTTTTTAACCCCCACTGGAGAGAGTCAATCACATGGATGAGGCTTTAAACCCCGAGGAGGGTGAGACAGGACATGGAGGAGGAGGAGACTGCGGCGTCTGATGACAAGTGTGGAAGAGATGAAACTGTTGAAAAAACTTGACTTCAAAGGGCTGGAGGAGAAGAAGAAAGACGGCAGTCACAACAGGCACAACGCATCAGAGGAGAGAGCAATGAAGAGAGGGTGTCTGAGGGAGGAAAAAAGAGGGATTTGGGATTTAAACCAGGGACGAATGTACACAAACACTGTCAATCAGTATATCAGTCATGGAGATCTAAACAGACTCCATCATTTCTGTATCACGACACTTTCATCTTAACCACAGTTACTATTCTAAGACAGTCGACATGAATCCAACATGAGCAAACATCTGATCACATTTCTAACAGGCAGAATCCTCAAGCCAAACCACAAACACGGGTGGATAGCCACCTGCTGCTCGTACAGCCAAGAGAGTAAGACAGAACAGAAGCAGACAGAGTAAAAACAGGAAACAAACAAGACAACAGGAAAACAGACAGACAGGAGAACAGGAGACTCCTCTAAACACGCACAAATCTGAAAACATTTATGAATCAATCCGGCTAATCTGCATGTGTAAAAGCAGTCAATCAAACTTTTTCACCCTGACTTGATTCGGACCATCACCTTTGAACTGGAACACTACAATAATGTCAGACTGATGTTCCGCTGTCCAGTTCACATTGCAATATGGCTTTTTGGAAAAATGTAAACACACATTCAGACATGCATGTACACACACACACACGATGCAGTTCCGCCCTGCAAGCTCCAGTGCTCCACACTGCCACCATCCTGCGCCTGATATACACAGTTACTGACGCTGGATCTGAGGTGGAGCTGATTTGCGGCACATTTATACCTCTGTGTAGCAAAAATCACCTTGAATAAGCTATGTATAAGAGTTTTCACAGATTGTCACCTTAAAGGTGATTTTTTTCCATTCCCAGTCTACCAATGTACTCTCTCTCTCTCTTACACTTAGACCAAATGGAGTATATGGAGTTGTTAAAGTACGTCTGACACAGAAAATCTCCTCCTGTGTGTATGTGTGAAAATAAAGTCTCCAAAGATGTCAGAAGATGTGCTAATGTGTTAACTGAAACTATCTGGAAAATGTTGAAGAGGGCTAAGAAGGCTGGAGATGTTCTCACAGAAGCAAGGATGATACACAATAATCCAGACTAACAGTAATAAAGGCAACAATAATATCAGACATTTGACAATCATTAGTCAAAGTCAGTCGCTCTGATTACAATAATAGCAGTTGGATTCACGCAGAGTAATGATAGCACTATGGGGATTTGGGCTGTCACAAAATGAATTTCTAACATCATCACATAATTATCACTGCCAAAAAATATCACTGTCATGATATTTATGGAGAACCTTTAAATAAAACAACACAATCAGTCAAACTGAGGAAAAGCGAGTCAAGAGTGGAGCAACATCTTTATAACTTCTTTACCTTAAAGGTCGTCATCCATTTTTTACCATTAAAAAAAATCTATGATTTATCAGTCCTGTGGCTAAAACTTTATGAAGAAGACATTTCATGAACTGACTGTTTTTCATGTTATTATTTTGATAATTTTTTTATCTTGGATTTTTGGATTCTCCATGTTTTGTATGCTACTTCTAGTAGATCATAACTTACAGAACTGAATGAAGACAGTTCTGGTCATAAAGTACAAATGTTAAGTTGATTAGTGATGTTGTTTTTGGAAGCAGGATAACTCTTTAACATTAGCTTTTAAAGTAGGGTGACCATATTCTGAATCCCCAAAAAGAAGACAGGACTCGAAATGCGGCGGCAGAGTCATGGAGTCGCGCAAAGTTAATTTTGAGAGTTTTTCGGGTCGGATTGAGTGTCTTTTACGCACTTCTAACTCAGTAAGTCAATGTGAGATAAACTCGAAACTTCAATACAAAACCCTGGACATTTGAAGGATTTTATAAACTTCCCCAGACAAAGCTGGACAAGGCCAGACAGCCCAGACAGCCCTCAGAAGAGAGGACATGTCCACTTCTTCTTCTTCTTCTGTTCTCTGTTTTGTAATGTGTGGTTTATTTTTAGCCCAATGTTAACGATTTTTCTATTTTTCAAAGGCTGTTATTGTCAAAATCAGTATAGTGCAACAGCCTTAAAGAAGCTATTCTTGGAGACATCGTTTATCTCCACACTTTTACCTCCTGATCACATGTAAGTTAACTGAGGTTGTGGAAAATGGCTGCCAAGGTGGAGATTTTGGAAAACATCACTGTAATTTTTTGTGCACAGCAAAAACAAAAGTTTATGTCGAAGCTGACATACCTGGGCATGGCAGTTGCTGTTTGTATGTACTGGGTATGCACCAAGTCCGAGGCCATGGTCCTCAGTTGGAAAAAGGTAGATTGCCTTCTTCAGGTCGGAGGGGAGGTCCTGCCTCAAGTGGAGGAGTTCAAGTACCTCAGGACCTTGTTCACGAGTGAGGGTAGGATGGAGCGGAAGATCGACAGGCAGATCGGAGCGGTGTCAGCAGTGATAAGGACGCTTAACTGATCTGTTGTGGTGAAGAAAGAGCTGAGCTGTGAGGCGAGACTCTAGAATTACCGGTCGAGCTACGTGCCAATCCTTACCTATGGTCATGAACTTTGGGTAATGACCGAAAGAACAAGATCGTGGATACAAGCGGGGGAAATGGGTTTCCCTTGCAGAGTGGCCAGGCTCAGCCTTAGAGATAGGGTAAGGAGCTCGGACACTCAGAAGGCGCTCTGAGTAGAACCGCTGCTCCTCCATGTCAAGAGGAGTCAGCTGAGGTGGCTCGGGCATCTGGTTAGGATACCTTCTGGATGCCTCCTGTTAGTGGTGTTCCGGACATGTCCCACTGGGAAGAGACCTTGTGGCTGGCCCAGGACCAGGTGGAGGGATTATATCTCTCACCTGGCCTGGGAGCACCTGGGAATCCCCCCGGAGGAGCTGGTGGAAGTGGTAGGGGTGAGGGCCTTCTGGGCTTCCCTCCTGAAGCTGCTGTTCCCACGACCCGGACCTGGATGAAGCGGAAGAAAACGACGACGACGGGTATGCACCAAGATGGTGGTTTGTTTAGGTCTGCTGTTGTGTACAGTGTCTTTCTATGGTGTTTTGATGTGACTGACTGCACACTATCACTACCTTGGTCTGGTCTGGCGTTCTTATGTGGTATTTTCATCTACGTCTACATTGTTGGGTTGGCTTCAATTTTTCAAAAACACCTCTGAGATTAGCGGTGTATTTTATAAAGGAAGGTAAAATATGTTTTAAAAAATATCAGTTTTTTTACCTGTGGACATAGCCTCTGTAACATTCAATGATTATAACAAATAAAAAATAATACTAATCAGGAATGTACACTTCATATCAAGGAGTCGCCTGACTGCTCAAGTCCACTCACAAAGACCGAACACAGCACAGAACAAACATAAACTCCCACCTTTTGAAGCCTGCAAGACTTTATTTGTGATGTATAATTGAAAGTAACTGTGGCTGGATGTTAGCATGTGTGTTGATTGATAATAATGATGGTAGCCCCCGGCTGTGTGGAACAACTGGCATGTTAATGAAAACTGATCAAAGCCCCAAAATATGAAACCTGATGATTAATGTTCAAAACTGGAGGGAGAAAGAGAGAGAGAGGGAGAGGGAGAGGGAGAGATCTTCGAGGAAAAGAGGCGGGTTTCACCATAGAAACAGAAAATGAGCAAATGAATGGACATCTGATGTTTTTTACAGAAATAGATTCTTTTCTCTCAGGGAGGACGACTCAAACCGCAGTGAAACAAGGCGTGCAGAAGGATCTTCCTCAGCAGACCATGATGTATTTGATCGAAACATAATGAAGACACTCTCGGCCCAATCAGAGCGGATTCAGCAGACGATTTCTATGCAGTTGATGACTGCCAGAGCCGAGGGATAATGAGGCCCGGGATAAGATGACTGTGAAGAGGGATTGGAGGAATCTGCTGCAGACTGCTGGCAGGCCTTGTGTTGTCTGAGCTGGGCTCTTACACCGAGTGAGAGGATGGTGGGAGTACGAGAAGAGTGGAGGAGGCAGTTTGAGTGAAAGAATGAAAGGAAAAACACCCACGTGTAACAGCATAACATCCCACAATAAAACAAGCTGGATTTCCCAGAAGAGAGGGGAAGCAGAAATGGAAGGATGTCAGTCAGTCAGACTGCGAGCTGAGTGTGATGAGTTGACATCACCAAACATACTGTACTGTGTTATATCAGAGGAAAACTGTGTCCTGGTTTCAGCTGTTTGGCTGTTTCCCACAGTACACAAAAATAAACTCAGTAAAGGCTTGTTTAGAAACTTTGGGGGGGCAGGATCAGATAAAGATTTAAGGGAGGGGAAGGCACATTTTGGAAAACAAATAGAATAACTTTATATCAAAACTCTGGGCTCTGATAAGCCGCATATTAGTATTACAATATTTATTTAGTCTATGAATATTCATGCTAAATAAACAACTTTAAATATTCCCTGGACACGGACATGTAAAATGCCTCCAGTCCCTGCGAAAACTGCTTTCTTTTGTAGTTATTTTGCCTCTGTGGATGTTTGGAGAGCTTTTCTTTTTCCTTTTACTCTTTTACATCTTTGTGTGGTCACATAGCATCGACATGTAGTTGTTTTGTATCTCTTTGCGGTTATTTAAATTATTTTTCTTGATTTTTTAATCTCTTTTGTAGGTTTCTTTGAATGTCTTTTACTTCCTTTGGTATCACCCCTTAGGCATTTCCCCAGATTTCTGCTGTGTTACACTCATTTTGTTATGTGTTTATATTGTGTTTCTTTGTGCTCGTTTGGTGCCTCGTTCTCGTTGTTTTCATTTGTGCTTATTTTGTGTGTTTCATGCCTGTTCGTTGTTTTGTGTGTCCTTGTGGTTGTTCCCTACTTTGATTGTATGATCATTTATTGTTTACATGTATGATCTCTGAAACATTAAATCTCCTTATAGTGCCTTAAAGTTGATTAAATGTCTATTTGTTGATGTTTTGAGCTCTTTGTTGATTGCATCTGTCATTGTTTTGCATCTTAATGAAATTTTTAAAAATATTTTTATTGCTCTTTACATCAATAATCATCCTTTGCTCAATACGGTTGATTTCTGCTTCTTTGTAGAAACATCTATGATAATGCTGTGTCTGTTGTGTTAGTCTCTTTGATGTTGTCCACACCTATGATCATATTTTCCTTTTGTGGTTGTATTTTTCATGTTTCGAGGATCTTTTAAAGTTTCTGTCAGTGGTTTCAAATGTATTTCTCTTTGCAGATTGCTTGTATCACCATTTTTTGTTTACCTTTTGATCAGCATGTTGTGACCTCTCTTTGTGGTCTTTTCGTCCCTCTAAAATTGGTAAATTTCCAAACCTTCAGTTCAAACCATCTCACTTGTTCTTCTCTTTTTTTTTTTTTTGATTTGGTTTGACAGGTGCCCCTCCAGTGGACCCACCACCCACAGGAGGAACGTGAAGGGTCCAGTGCTAGATATAGTCGGTCTCACCTCTACACATAGCGTTAGCTCTTGAACCCAAGTCCTTGAGAGGGGTTGGACACTCTTCTACGCTGGAGTTGCTCAGGGTGAGAGGCGGAGAGCCTGAGTGGGATTTTTGCTCGCCCCAAGGCTCTCTGCCTGTACGTTGGGGTTCTCTCGGCTGGACGAAAGGGTTGTTTCCCTGTGCCTCTGGGTCGGGAAACGGGTCCTGACTGTTGTCTGTGCTTAGGCGCCGAATAACAGTTCAGAGTACCTACCCTTTTTGGAGACCCTAGGGTGGACGCTTGACAGCGCCCCGACTAGGGACTCCATTGTTCTGCTGGGAGATTTTAACGCTCACGTATGCAGTGACAGCGAGACCTGGAAGGGCGTGATTGGGAGGAACGGTCTGAACCTGAATGGTGGTCAGTTGTTGGACTTCTGTGCAATTAGCAGTTTGTCCATAACTAACACCATGTCCGAACATAAGGTCGTTCATCGTGCTCCTGGCACCATGACGGCCGAGGCCGTAGGTCAATGATTGACTTTATAGCTGCATGTTTTGGACACTCGGGTGAAGAGAGGTGCAGAGCTGTCAACTGATCACTACCTGGTGGTGAGTTGGGTCAGGTGGCGGGGGAAACTGCAATGCAGACCTGGCAGGCCCAAACATATAGTACCGCCTCTCTTTGTGGTCTTTTTCGTCCCTCTATAATTGGTAAATTTCCAAACTTTCAGTTCAAACCATCTCACTTGTTCTTGTCTTTTTATTTGATTTGGTTTGACAGGTGTGTCAGGTACAGAGCAGACTGTTCGACATGAACAGAACTAGCTGCTGTCTCCAAAATGAATAAAAGGTAGAATTTGTCATCACATTTTCAGATATTCACTGGAAGAAAATGTTTTTATGCTGACAGCCTTCTACCTTTTGTTGTTGTCAGATCAGCATCATCGTTGTCTATATAAATATACTAACCTAAACTGTTTTCAGCAGATCACCCGGCTCATTCGTAACTCTCTTTCATTCATAGTTTTTCCTTCCATTGGTTGGAGAGTTTCTGATGCTGCAGTCGGCTAAGACTTCAATCAGTCTCTTAATTGAAAAGTTTTAATGAGGTTTAGCCCAGCTCAGCTGAAACACTCCAGCCTGACTCAGATTCAATGTCGACTACGTCTCTTGGAACAGAGCGGAGACACAGCCGTTTGAATTTTCACACAAACACTCCCGCTGCAACTGATCTCTACAAGAGGCTTTTATTCTGAGTTTTTATCAAGCTTAAAATGAAGTGACATTAAAGTCTGATTTAATGCAAATTGAATGCGCTAAAGCAGTTTGTATTTTTCATTTTGATGCGTTTGTAATTAGTCGCAGTCCATTCAGAACAGCTGAGGAAACGGAGGGACAACAATGCATACATATTGCATTAGGGAGCAGACGGCTGGGGAGGAGTGTCATCAATCAAAGATCCATAAACACAGCTCATAATGTTAATCCAGCGCTTATTTTCAAAGATGTGCACGCTTATTATGAGCAGTGTATTACTAAGAAGAAACTCGGCAAAGTGAAAACAGCTACAAATGTATGTAACCATCCGTTAGTACAGCTCTCACCTTTTCCCTCTCCTGGTTTCTCTCTGCAGAAACACGAGAGCTACACTCCCTGATGTGATGAGGCTTGTATGTCAGCTTGCATGCTTTTATTTCCACCCTGAGCCCCAGCGAGGCCCTGTTAGTATTCCTCATGCGTCTCATCTTGCTGCTATAGCTCTGAGGCATATATAAATGTGTGTGCATGTAGATATATGTTTCTTATTGTCGAGGTGCTTCAGATGAAGACCGGCTCCCTTCCTGTGGGCATCACAGCCACACAGGAGGCAGACAATCAATCGCCACTCGCCCGTATCGCCTCAAATTAATTTCCCAATGATTACCTGCAGGTATCTGCCGCTGCTGTTTTTCCCTCTGCAGATCTATAATGCAAACACTCTGCAGGGGCTGCTCATGTGTGTATGTGTGGGGGTTTTTGTGTGATGCACAAGCTGGCCGCAGCAAACTATAGCTTGTTGAAAAATGAGCACCCCTGGGCGCAGAGGTAGGGGAAGCGAGGGACGATGAGAAAGAAACAGAAGGAGAGAGATGAAGAGTGGCTTTGTCAGTGTGGAGAGAGGAAGCTTTTTTCTTTGACACAGAGAGTCGTAGTCTTAATATAAGAAGTTCAAACCTTTCAGAGAGGCAGCCATCAATCTGGAGACACGGCTACGTGTGTCTCTGTCCTGCTGAATACTCCCAGGATCCTCTTCTGTGTGTGATCCTTAAATAAACTCAGCTGCAAAGCCTATTACTGTGCACTCAGCTTCAATGCAAAGTTAAAATATTATTTCATGCCTCAGTGCCGTTAGCTGGATTTTTTCTTGTTTTATTAAAACAAAGAGACATAACCTGAATGCAAGCAAAAAATGGGTTAAGTGTGCTTTCTTGTGCATCCTCTAAAATCACAGTGAGTCATTACTTGTCTGATTCCCAGAAACACGTCTCTAATATCCTGTTGGCACCCTGCCTAAGAGGATGGAAAAACAGCACACGGCAGCAGCAAATTCAAACTATCATGAGTCCAAATGAAGCTATTACCATAATTCTCACAGCGACTCGTTTTTTTCATAACTCTGTGCTCGGGGGCCGACACTCCGAGCCTTCTCCAACCCATCTCCATTATGCTCAACGTGTCAGCCAGCAAGCCGAGCAGAACAAGGAGGGAGGAACAGCGGTCGTAATGAGGGAGACGTTAACAAACCAGAGGATGGAGGGATGGCAGTGACGGAGCAGAGACGGTGCGACAATCCAAAACAGCCTGAATGGCCCCGGTACGAGACGCCAGACGTACGACGAGTTATGGTGAACTCAAAATGATGGAAATGACAATTAATGGGTTTTTCATCATCTCCAGAATCTGCAGCAATATCAAGCACACGCAGCCTTCAACATCATTTAGTGAACTCTATGAATTAAACATAGTCACTTACCACACTGGTGGAGCTGTGATGAAAGTCAAAAGCGTAACTGACACTTGTTTTTCACGTGTTATTTGATTAAAAAGCAGCCAAAGTGTGGTAGATTTTTGAAGTGATGAGTGATTAACTGGGAGGTGAAATGAAGCTGGCTGTTTCTAATTCTCTCCAGAGTGTTATCGCCTTTGGCTATTGTTACACTGGTATGAAATTATTCCTTCGCAGCACTGAAATAAAATGAATCAATTTTTGTGCTTTTCTGCCTCCCTGTTCCAGTCGCTCCTTTCGCTTTCATTTCAGCTCTGCTCTTGTGTGCTTCCACTAAACCTCTCAGTCTGTGTTGTGCCTGAAGCTAAAGCAGGTGTATCCATGGTCCGTCACAGGTCGTTGAGCCTCAGTCCGTCCAGCTGCTCTCTGTCTGTCCGCCTGCAAGACTGCGAAAAAGGAAGCAGCTCTTTCTGCCAAAATGGGAGGTCAGAGGACAAAAAGCTGCCCACTTTTTACTTAAGAGAGTGTGGTCCCGTTCCAGTTAATACACCGAGCTGTAAATACTGAACCCTTACAGACATTAAGGTTGGAGCTAGGGTTAGGGTTAGGTGTGGGGTTGGAGCTAGGGTTAGGGTTAGGGTTAGGGTTGGAGTTAGGGTTAGTGTTGGAGCTAGGGTTAGGGTTGGGCTTGGAGCTAGGATTTTTCTGAGTGCAATGAACCAACTCCCGAGTCTCTAGGACGTTCCTAAAAAATATTGATTTTTTCCCATAGGAATGCATGGGTTAGGGTAAGGGTTAGGGTTGGAGCTAGGGTTAGGGTTAGGGTTAGGGTTGGAGTTAGGGTTAGTGTTGGAGCTAGGGTTAGGGTTGGGCTTGGAGCTAGGATTTTTCTGAGTGCAATGAACCAACTCCCGAGGCTCTAGGACATTCCTAAAAAAAATTGATTTTTTCCCATAGGAATGCATGAGTTAGGGTTAGGGTTAGGGTTGGAGCTAGGGTTAGGGTTAGGGTTAGGGTTGGAGTTAGGGTTAGTGTTGGAGCTAGGGTTAGGGTTGGGCTTGGAGCTAGGATTTTTCTGAGTGCAATGAACCAACTCCCGAGTCTCTAGGACGTTCCTAAAAAAATTTGATTTTTTCCCATAGGAATGCACGTGTTAGGGTTAGGGTTAGGGTTGGAGCTAGGGTTAGGGTTAGGGTTAGGGTTGGAGTTAGGGTTAGTGTTGGAGCTAGGGTTAGGGTTGGGCTTGGAGCTAGAATTTTTCTGAGTGCAATGAACCAACTCCCGAGTCTCTAGGACGTTACTAAAAATATTTGTTTTTTTCCCATAGGAATGCATGGGTTAGGGTTAGGGTTAGGGTTGGAGCTAGGGTTAGGGTTAGGGTTAGGGTTGGAGCTAGGGTTAGTGTTGGAGCTAGGGTTAGGGTTGGGCTTGGAGCTAGGATTTTTCTGAGTGCAATGAACCAACTCCCGAGTCTCTAGGACGTTCCTAAAAAAATTTGATTTTTTCCCATAGGAATGCATGGGTTAGGGTTAGGGTTAGGGTTGGAGCTAGGGTTAGGGTTAGGGTTAGGGTTGGAGTTAGGGTTAGTGTTGGAGCTAGGGTTAGGGTTGGGCTTGGAGCTAGGATTTTTCTGAGTGCAATGAACCAACTCCCGAGTCTCTAGGACGTTCCAAAAAAAATTTGATTTTTTTCCCATAGGAATGCATGGGTTAGGGTTAGGGTTAGGGTTGGAGCTAGGGTTAGGGTTAGGGTTAGGGTTGGAGTTAGGGTTAGTGTTGGAGCTAGGGTTAGGGTTGGGCTTGGAGCTAGGATTTTTCTGAGTGCAATGAACCAACTCCCGAGTCTCTAGGACGTTCCTAAAAAAAATTTGATTTTTTCCCATAGGAATGCATGGGTTAGGGTTAGGGTTAGGGTTGGAGCTAGGGTTAGGGTTAGGGTTAGGGTTGGAGTTAGGGTTAGTGTTGGAGCTAGGGTTAGGGTTGGGCTTGGAGCTAGGATTTTTTTGAGTGCAATGGACCAACTCCCGTGTCTCTAGGACGTTCCTAAAAAAATTTGATTTTTTCCCATAGGAATGCATGGGTTAGGGTTAGGGTTAGGGTTGGAGCTAGGGTTAGGGTTAGGGTTAGGGTTGGAGTTAGGGTTAGTGTTGGCGCTAGGGTTAGGGTTGGGCTTGGAGCTAGGATTTTTCTGAGTGCAATGAACCAACTCCCGAGTCTCTAGGACGTTCCTAAAAAAATTTGATTTTTTCCCATAGGAATGCATGGGTTAGGGTTAGGGTTAGGGTTGGAGCTAGGGTTAGGGTTAGGGTTGGAGTTAGGGTTAGTGTTGGAGCTAGGGTTAGGGTTGGGCTTGGAGCTAGGATTTTTCTGAGTGCAATGAACCAACTCCCGAGTCTCTAGGACGTTCCTAAAAAAAATTTGATTTTTTCCCATAGGAATGCATGGGTTAGGGTTAGGGTTAGGGTTGGAGCTAGGGTTAGGGTTAGGGTTAGGGTTGGATTTAGGGTTAGTGTTGGAGCTAGGGTTAGGGTTGGGCTTGGAGCTAAGATTAGGATTAGGGTGGAGCTAGGGTTAGGGTTAGGGTTAGAGCTAGGGTTAGGGTTGGGGCTAGGGTTAGGGTTAGGGTTAGGGTTAAGGTTGGAGATAGGGTTAGGGTTAGGGTTAGGGTTGGAGCTAGGATTTTCTGGTGCAATGAACCAACTCCCGAGTCTCTAAGACGTTCCTAAAAATTAGATTTTTTCCCATAGGAATGCATGGGTTAGGGTTAGGGTTAGGGTTGGAGCTAGGGTTAGGGTTAGGGTTAGGGTTGGAGTTAGGGCTAGTGTTTAGGGTTAGGGTTGGGCTTGGAGCTAGGATTTTCTGAGTGCAATGAACCAACTCCCGAGTCTCTAGGACGTTCCTAAAAAAATTTGATTTTTTCCCATAGGAATGCATGGGTTAGGGTTAGGGTTAGGGTTGGAGCTAGGGTTAGGGTTAGGGTTAAGGTTGGAGTTTGGGTTAGGGTTAGGGTTAGGGTTAGGGTGGAGCTAGGGTTAGGGTTAGGGTTAGAGCTAGGGTTAGGGTTGGGGCTAGGGTTAGGGTTAAGGTTGGCGCTAGGGTTAGGGTTACGGTTAGGGTTGGAGCTAGGGTTAGGGTTAGGGTTAGGGTTGGAGCTAGAGTTGGGGTTAGGGTTAGGGTTGGAGCTAGGGTTAAGGTTAGGGTTAAGGTTGGAGCTAGGGTTAGGGTTAGGATTAGGGTGGAGCTAGGGTTAGGGTGAGGGTTAAGGTTGGAGCTAGGGTTAGGGTTAGGATTAGGGTGGAGCTAGGGTTAGGGTTAGGGTTAGAGCTAGGGTTAGGGTTGGGGCTAGGGTTAGGGTTAAGGTTGGAGATAGGGTTAGGGTTAGGGTTAGGGTTGGAGCTAGGGTTAGGGTTAGGGTTGGAGCTAGGGTTAGGGTTAGGGTTAGGGTTGGATTTAGGGTTAGTGTTGGAGCTAGGGTTAGGGTTGGGCTTGGAGCTAGGATTTTTCTGAGTGCAATGAACCAACTCCCGAGTCTCTAGGACGTTCCTAAAAAAATTTGATTTTTTCCCATAGGAATGCATGGGTTAGGGTTAGGGTTAGGGTTGGAGCTAGGGTTAGGGTTAGGGTTAGGGTTGGATTTAGGGTTAGTGTTGGAGCTAGGGTTAGGGTTGGGCTTGGAGCTAGGATTTTTCTGAGTGCAATGAACCAACTCCCGAGTCTCTAGGACGTTCCTAAAAAAAATTTATTTTTTCCCATAGGAATGCATGGGTTAGGGTCAGGGTTAGGGTTGGAGCTAGGGTTAGGGTTAGGGTTAGGGTTGGAGTTAGGGTTAGTGTTGGAGCTAGGGTTAGGGTTGGGCTTGGAGCTAGGATTTTTCTGAGTGCAATGAACCAACTCCCGAGTCTCTAGGACGTTCCTAAAAAAATTTGATTTTTTCCCATAGGAATGCATGGGTTAGGGTTAGGGTTAGGGTTGGAGCTAGGGTTAGGGTTAGGGTTAGGGTTGGAGTTAGGGTTAGTGTTGGAGCTAGGGTTAGGGTTGGGCTTGGAGCTAGGATTTTTCTGAGTGCAATGAACCAACTCCCGAGTCTCTAGGACGTTCCTAAAAAAATTTGATTTTTTCCCATAGGAATGCATGGGTTAGGGTTAGGGTTAGGGTTGGAGCTAGGGTTAGGGTTAGGGTTAGGGTTAGGGTTGGAGTTAGGGTTAGGGCAAGGGTTAAGGTTGGAGCTAGGGTTAGGGTTATGGTTAGGATTAGGGTGGAGCTAGGGTTAGGGTTAGGGTTAGAGCTAGGGTTAGGGTTGGGGCTAGGGTTAGGGTTAAGGTTGGAGCTAGGGTTAGGCTTAGGGTTAGGGTTGGAGCTAGGGTTAGGGTTAGGGTTAGGGTTGGAGCTAGGGTTAGGGTTAGGGTTAGGGTTGGAGTTAGGGTTAGGGTTAGGGTTGGAGCTAGGGTTAAGGTTAGGGTTAAGGTTGGAGCTAGGGTTAGGGTTAGGATTAGGGTGGAGCTAGGGTTAGGGTTGGGCTTGGAGCTAGGGTTAGGGTTAGGATTAGGGTGGAGCTAGGGTTAGGGTTAGGGTTAGAGCTAGGGTTAGGGTTGGGGCTAGAGTTAGGGTTAGGGTTAGGGTTAAGGTTGGAGATAGGGTTAGGGTTAGGGTTAGGGTTGGAGCTAGGGTTAGGGTTAGGGTTAGGGTTGGAGCTAGGGTTAGGGTTAGGGTTAGGGTTGGAGCTAGGGTTAGTGTTGGAGCTAGGGTTAGGGTTGGGCTTGGAGCTAGGATTTTTCTGAGTGCAATGAACAAACTCCCGAGTCTCTAGGACGTTCCTAAAAAAATTTGATTTTTTCCCATAGGAATGCATGGGTTAGGGTTAGGTGTGGGGTTGGAGCTAGGGTTAGGGTTAGGGTTAGGGTTGGAGTTAGGGTTAGGGTTAGGGTTAAGGTTGGAGCTAGGGTTAGGGTTAGGGTTAGGATTAGGGTGGAGCTAGGGTTAGGGTTAGGGTTAGGGTTAGAGCTAGGGTTAGTGTTGGAGCTAGGGTTAGGGTTGGGCTTGGAGCTAGGATTTTTCTGAGTGCAATGAACCAACTCCCGAGTCTCTAGGACGTTCCTAAAAAAATTTGATTTTTTCCCATAGGAATGCATGGGTTAGGGTTAGGGTTAGGGTTGGAGCTAGGGTTAGGGTAAGGGTTAGGGTTGGAGTTAGGGTTAGTGTTGGAGCTAGGGTTAGGGTTGGGCTTGGAGCTAGGATTTTTCTGAGTGCAATGAACCAACTCCCGAGTCTCTAGGACGTTCCTAAAAATATTTGTTTTTTTTCCCATAGGAATGCATGGGTTAGGGTTAGGGTTAGGGTTGGAGCTAGGGTTAGGGTTAGGGTTAGGGTTGGAGTTAGGGTTAGTGTTGGAGCTAGGGTTAGGGTTGGGCTTGGAGCTAGGATTTTTCTGAGTGCAATGAACCAACTCCCGAGTCTCTAGGACGTTCCTAAAAAAATTGATTTTTTCCCATAGGAATGCATGGGTTAGGGTTAGGGTTAGGGTTGGAGCTAGGGTTAGGGTTAGGGTTAGGGTTGGAGTTAGGGTTAGTGTTGGAGCTAGGGTAAGGGTTGGGCTTGGAGCTAGGATTTTTCTGAGTGCAATGAACCAACTCCCGAGTCTCTAGGACGTTCCTAAAAAAAAATGATTTTTTCCCATAGGAATGCATGGGTTAGGGTTAGGGTTAGGGTTGGAGCTAGGGTTAGGGTTAGGGTTAGGGTTGGAGTTAGGGTTAGTGTTGGAGCTAGGGTTAGGGTTGGGCTTGGAGCTAGGATTTTTCTGAGTGCAATGAACCAACTCCCGAGTCTCTAGGACGTTCCTAAAAAAATTTGATTTTTTCCCATAGGAATGCATGGGTTAGGGTTAGGGTTAGGGTTGGAGCTAGGGTTAGGGTTAGGGTTAGGGTTGGAGTTAGGGTTAGTGTTGGAGCTAGGGTTAGGGTTGGGCTTGGAGCTAGGATTTTTCTGAGTGCAATGAACCAACTCCCGAGTCTCTAGGACGTTCCTAAAAAAAATTGATTTTTTCCCATAGGAATGCATGGGTTAGGGTTAGGGTTAGGGTTGGAGCTAGGGTTAGGGTTGGGGTTAGGGTTAGGGTTGGAGTTAGGGTTAGTGTTGGAGCTAGGGTTAGGGTTGGGCTTGGAGCTAGGATTTTTCTGAGTGCAATGAACCAACTCCCGAGTCTCTAGGACGTTCTTTAAAAAATTTGATTTTTTTCCATAGGAATGCATGGGAAAAAAAATTTGAAAAATTTTTAAGTGCCAACCCAATTTTTCACCTTCCAGAATTGTGTTAGGAGCACATTTCAGGGCACGGGGAGTCTATAGAACCTAATTCTGGGGGAAGTTTTTTGAAAAGTTTACTTGGGGTTTGGGTTAGGGTTAGGGTTGGAGCTAGGGTTAGGGTTAGGGTTAAGGTTGGAGCAAGGGTTAGGGTTAGGGTTGGAGCTAGGGTTAGGGTTAGGGTTAGAGCTAGGGTTTGGGCTAGGGTTAGGGTTAGGGTTAGGGTTAAGGTTGGAGCTAGGGTTAGGGTTAGGTGTGGGGTTGGAGCTAGGGTTAGGGTTAGGGTTAGGGTTGGAGTTAGGGTCAGTGTTGGAGCTAGGGTTAGGGTTGGGCTTGGAGCTAGGATTTTTCTGAGTGCAATGAACCAGCTCCCGAGTCTCTAGGACGTTCCTAAAAAAATTTGATTTTTTCCCATAGGAATACATGGGTTAGGGTTAGGGTTAGGGTTGGAGCTAGGGTTAGGGTTAGGGTTAGGGTTGGAGCTAGGGTTAGTGTTGGAGCTAGGGTTAGGGTTGGGCTTGGAGCTAGGATTTTTCTGAGTGCAATGAACCAACTCCCGAGTCTCTAGGACGTTCCTAAAAAAATTTGATTTTTTCCCATAGGAATGCATGGGTTAGGGTTAGGGTTAGGGTTGGAGCTAGGGTTAGGGTTAGGGTTAGGGTTGGAGTTAGGGTTAGTGTTGGAGCTAGGGTAAGGGTTGGGCTTGGAGCTAGGATTTTTCTGAGTGCAATGAACCAACTCCCGAGTCTCTAGGACGTTCCTAAAAAAATTTGATTTTTTCCCATAGGAATGCATGGGTTAGGGTTAGGGTTAGGGTTGGAGCTAGGGTTAGGGTTAGGGTTAGGGTTGGAGTTAGGGTTAGTGTTGGAGCTAGGGTTAGGGTTGGGCTTGGAGCTAGGATTTTTCTGAGTGCAATGAACCAACTCCCGAGTCTCTAGGATGTTGCTAAAAAAATTTGATTTTTTTCCATAGGAATGCATGGGTTAGGGTTAGGGTTAGGGTTGGAGCTAGGGTTAGGGTTAGGGTTAGGGTTGGAGTTAGGGTTAGTGTTGGAGCTAGGGTTAGGGTTGGGCTTGGAGCTAGGATTTTTCTGAGTGCAATGAACCAGCTCCCAAGTCTCTAGGACGTTCCTAAAAAAAATGATTTTTTCCAATAGGAATGCATGGGTTAGGGTTAGGGTTAGGGTTGGAGCTAGGGTTAGGGTTAGGGTTAGGGTTAGGGTTAGGGTTGGAGTTAGGGTTAGTGTTGGAGCTAGGGTTAGGGTTGGGCTTGGAGCTAGGATTTTTCTGAGTGCAATGAACCAACTCCCGAGTCTCTAGGACGTTCCTAAAAAAATTTGATTTTTTTCCATAGGAATGCATGGGTTAGGGTTAGGGTTAGGGTTGGAGCTAGGGTTAGGGTTAGGGTTGGAGTTAGGGTTAGTGTTGGAGCTAGGGTTAGGGTTGGGCTTGGAGCTAGGATTTTTCTGAGTGCAATGAACCAACTCCCGAGTCTCTAGGACGTTCCTAAAAAAATTTGATTTTTTTCCATAGGAATGCATGGGTTAGGGTTAGGGTTAGGGTTGGAGCTAGGGTTAGGGTTAGGGTTAGGGTTGGAGTTAGGGTTAGTGTTGGAGCTAGGGTTAGGTGTGGGCTTGGAGCTAGGATTTTTCTGAGTGCAATGAACCAATTCCCGAGTCTCTAGGACGTTCCTAAAAAAAATGATTTTTTCCCATAGGAATGCATGGGTTAGGGTTAGGGTTAGGGTTGGAGCTAGGGTTAGGGTTAGGGTTAGGGTTAGGGTTGGAGTTAGGGTTAGTGTTGGAGCTAGGGTTAGGGTTGGGCTTGGAGCTAGGATTTTTCTGAGTGCAATGAACCAACTCCCGAGTCTCTAGGACGTTCCTAAAAAAATTTGATTTTTTTTCCCATAGGAATGCATGGGTTAGGGTTAGGGTTAGGGTTGGAGCTAGGGTTAGGGTTAGGGTTAGGGTTGGAGTTAGGGTTAGTGTTGGAGCTAGGGTTAGGGTTGGGCTTGGAGCTAGGATTTTTCTGAGTGCAATGAACCAACTCCCGAGTCTCTAGGACGTTCCTAAAAATTTTGATTTTTTTCCCATAGGAATGCATGGGTTAGGGTTAGGGTTAGGGTTGGAGCTAGGGTTAGGGTTGGAGTTAGGGTTAGTGTTGGAGCTAGGGTTAGGGTTGGGCTTGGAGCTAGGATTTTTCTGAGTGCAATGAACCAACTCCCGAGTCTCTAGGACGTTCCTAAAAAATTTGATTTTTTCCCATAGGAATGCATGGGTTAGGGTTAGGGTTAGGGTTGGAGCTAGGGTTAGGGTTAGGGTTAGGGTTGGAGTTAGGGTTAGTGTTGGAGCTAGGGTTAGGGTTGGGCTTGGAGCTAGGATTTTTCTGAGTGCAATGAACCAACTCCCGAGTCTCTAGGACGTTCCTAAAAAAATTGATTTTTTCCCATAGGAATGCATGGGTTAGGGTTAGGGTTAGGGTTGGAGCTAGGGATAGGGTTAGGGTTGGAGTTAGGGTTAGTGTTGGAGCTAGGGTAAGGGTTGGGCTTGGAGCTAGGATTTTTCTGAGTGCAATGAACCAACTCCCGAGTCTCTAGGACGTTCTTTAAAAAATTTGATTTTTTTCCATAGGAATGCATGGGAAAAAAAATTTGAAAAATTTTTAAGTGCCAACCCAATTTTTCACCTTCCAGAATTGTGTTAGGAGCACATTTCAGGGCACGGGGAGTCTATAGAACCTAATTCTGGGGGAAGTTTTTTGAAAAGTTTACTTGGGGTTTGGGTTAGGGTTAGGGTTGGAGCTAGGGTTAGGGTTAGGGTTAAGGTTGGAGCAAGGGTTAGGGTTAGGGTTGGAGCTAGGGTTAGGGTTAGGGTTAGAGCTAGGGTTAGGGTTAGGGTTTGGGCTAGGGTTAGGGTTAGGGTTAGGGTTAAGGTTGGAGCTAGGGTTAGGGTTAGGTGTGGGGTTGGAGCTAGGGTTAGGGTTAGGGTTAGGGTTGGAGTTAGGGTCAGTGTTGGAGCTAGGGTTAGGGTTGGGCTTGGAGCTAGGATTTTTCTGAGTGCAATGAACCAACTCCCGAGTCTCTAGGACGTTCCTAAAAAAATTTGATTTTTTCCCATAGGAATACATGGGTTAGGGTTAGGGTTAGGGTTGGAGCTAGGGTTAGGGTTAGGGTTAGGGTTGGAGCTAGGGTTAGTGTTGGAGCTAGGGTTAGGGTTGGGCTTGGAGCTAGGATTTTTCTGAGTGCAATGAACCAACTCCCGAGTCTCTAGGACGTTCCTAAAAAAATTTGATTTTTTCCCATAGGAATGCATGGGTTAGGGTTAGGGTTAGGGTTGGAGCTAGGGTTAGGGTTAGGGTTAGGGTTGGAGTTAGGGTTAGTGTTGGAGCTAGGGTTAGGGTTGGGCTTGGAGCTAGGATTTTTCTGAGTGCAATGAACCAACTCCCGAGTCTCTAGGACGTTCCTAAAAAAATTGATTTTTTCCCATAGGAATGCATGGGTTAGGGTTAGGGTTAGGGTTGGAGCTAGGGTTAGGGTTTGGGTTAGGGTTGGAGTTAGGGTTAGTGTTGGAGCTAGGGTTAGGGTTGGGCTTGGAGCTAGGATTTTTCTGAGTGCAATGAACCAACTCCCGAGTCTCTAGGATGTTGCTAAAAAAATTTGATTTTTTTCCATAGGAATGCATGGGTTAGGGTTAGGGTTAGGGTTGGAGCTAGGGTTAGGGTTAGGGTTAGGGTTGGAGTTAGGGTTAGTGTTGGAGCTAGGGTTAGGGTTGGGCTTGGAGCTAGGATTTTTCTGAGTGCAATGAACCAACTCCCGAGTCTCTAGGACGTTCCTAAAAAAATTTGATTTTTTCCAATAGGAATGCATGGGTTAGGGTTAGGGTTAGGGTTGGAGCTAGGGTTAGGGTTAGGGTTAGGGTTAGGGTTAGGGTTGGAGTTAGGGTTAGTGTTGGAGCTAGGGTTAGGGTTGGGCTTGGAGCTAGGATTTTTCTGAGTGCAATGAACCAACTCCCGAGTCTCTAGGACGTTCCTAAAAAAATTTGATTTTTTTCCATAGGAATGCATGGGTTAGGGTTAGGGTTAGGGTTGGAGCTAGGGTTAGGGTTAGGGTTGGAGTTAGGGTTAGTGTTGGAGCTAGGGTTAGGGTTGGGCTTGGAGCTAGGATTTTTCTGAGTGCAATGAACCAACTCCCGAGTCTCTAGGACGTTCCTAAAAAAATTTGATTTTTTTCCATAGGAATGCATGGGTTAGGGTTAGGGTTAGGGTTGGAGCTAGGGTTAGGGTTAGGGTTAGGGTTGGAGTTAGGGTTAGTGTTGGAGCTAGGGTTAGGTGTGGGCTTGGAGCTAGGATTTTTCTGAGTGCAATGAACCAATTCCCGAGTCTCTAGGACGTTCCTAAAAAAAATGATTTTTTCCCATAGGAATGCATGGGTTAGGGTTAGGGTTAGGGTTGGAGCTAGGGTTAGGGTTAGGGTTAGGGTTAGGGTTGGAGTTAGGGTTAGTGTTGGAGCTAGGGTTAGGGTTGGGCTTGGAGCTAGGATTTTTCTGAGTGCAATGAACCAACTCCCGAGTCTCTAGGACGTTCCTAAAAAAATTTGATTTTTTCCCATAGGAATGCATGGGTTAGGGTTAGGGTTAGGGTTGGAGCTAGGGTTAGGGTTAGGGTTAGGGTTGGAGTTAGGGTTAGTGTTGGAGCTAGGGTTAGGGTTGGGCTTGGAGCTAGGATTTTTCTGAGTGCAATGAACCAACTCCCGAGTCTCTAGGACGTTCCTAAAAAAATTTGATTTTTTTCCATAGGAATGCATGGGTTAGGGTTAGGGTTAGGGTTGGAGCTAGGGTTAGGGTTGGAGTTAGGGTTAGTGTTGGAGCTAGGGTTAGGGTTGGGCTTGGAGCTAGGATTTTTCTGAGTGCAATGAACCAACTCCCGAGTCTCTAGGACGTTCCTAAAAAAAATTGATTTTTTCCCATAGGAATGCATGGGTTAGGGTTAGGGTTAGGGTTGGAGCTAGGGTTAGGGTTAGGGTTAGGGTTGGAGTTAGGGTTAGTGTTGGAGCTAGGGTTAGGGTTGGGCTTGGAGCTAGGATTTTTCTGAGTGCAATGAACCAACTCCCGAGTCTCTAGGACGTTCCTAAAAAAAATTTGATTTTTTCCCATAGGAATGCATGGGTTAGGGTTAGGGTTAGGGTTGGAGCTAGGGATAGGGTTAGGGTTGGAGTTAGGGTTAGTGTTGGAGCTAGGGTAAGGGTTGGGCTTGGAGCTAGGATTTTTCTGAGTGCAATGAACCAACTCCCGAGTCTCTAGGACGTTCTTTAAAAAATTTGATTTTTTTCCATAGGAATGCATGGGAAAAAAAATTTGAAAAATTTTTAAGTGCCAACCCAATTTTTCACCTTCCAGAATTGTGTTAGGAGCACATTTCAGGGCACGGGGAGTCTATAGAACCTAATTCTGGGGGAAGTTTTTTGAAAAGTTTACTTGGGGTTTGGGTTAGGGTTAGGGTTGGAGCTAGGGTTAGGGTTAGGGTTAAGGTTGGAGCAAGGGTTAGGGTTAGGGTTGGAGCTAGGGTTAGGGTTAGGGTTAGAGCTAGGGTTAGGGTTAGGGTTTGGGCTAGGGTTAGGGTTAGGGTTAGGGTTAAGGTTGGAGCTAGGGTTAGGGTTAGGTGTGGGGTTGGAGCTAGGGTTAGGGTTAGGGTTAGGGTTGGAGTTAGGGTCAGTGTTGGAGCTAGGGTTAGGGTTGGGCTTGGAGCTAGGATTTTTCTGAGTGCAATGAACCAGCTCCCGAGTCTCTAGGACGTTCCTAAAAAAATTTGATTTTTTCCCATAGGAATACATGGGTTAGGGTTAGGGTTAGGGTTGGAGCTAGGGTTAGGGTTAGGGTTAGGGTTGGAGCTAGGGTTAGTGTTGGAGCTAGGGTTAGGGTTGGGCTTGGAGCTAGGATTTTTCTGAGTGCAATGAACCAACTCCCGAGTCTCTAGGACGTTCCTAAAAAAATTTGATTTTTTCCCATAGGAATGCATGGGTTAGGGTTAGGGTTAGGGTTGGAGCTAGGGTTAGGGTTAGGGTTAGGGTTGGAGTTAGGGTTAGTGTTGGAGCTAGGGTAAGGGTTGGGCTTGGAGCTAGGATTTTTCTGAGTGCAATGAACCAACTCCCGAGTCTCTAGGACGTTCCTAAAAAAATTGATTTTTTCCCATAGGAATGCATGGGTTAGGGTTAGGGTTAGGGTTGGAGCTAGGGTTAGGGTTTGGGTTAGGGTTGGAGTTAGGGTTAGTGTTGGAGCTAGGGTTAGGGTTGGGCTTGGAGCTAGGATTTTTCTGAGTGCAATGAACCAACTCCCGAGTCTCTAGGATGTTGCTAAAAAAATTTGATTTTTTTCCATAGGAATGCATGGGTTAGGGTTAGGGTTAGGGTTGGAGCTAGGGTTAGGGTTAGGGTTAGGGTTGGAGTTAGGGTTAGTGTTGGAGCTAGGGTTAGGGTTGGGCTTGGAGCTAGGATTTTTCTGAGTGCAATGAACCAGCTCCCGAGTCTCTAGGACGTTCCTAAAAAAAAAATGATTTTTTCCAATAGGAATGCATGGGTTAGGGTTAGGGTTAGGGTTGGAGCAAGGGTTAGGGTTAGGGTTAGGGTTAGGGTTAGGGTTGGAGTTAGGGTTAGTGTTGGAGCTAGGGTTAGGGTTGGGCTTGGAGCTAGGATTTTTCTGAGTGCAATGAACCAACTCCCGAGTCTCTAGGACGTTCCTAAAAAAATTTGATTTTTTCCATAGGAATGCATGGGTTAGGGTTAGGGTTAGGGTTGGAGCTAGGGTTAGGGTTAGGGTTAGGGTTGGAGTTAGGGTTAGTGTTGGAGCTAGGGTTAGGGTTGGGCTTGGAGCTAGGATTTTTCTGAGTGCAATGAACCAACTCCCGAGTCTCTAGGACGTTCCTAAAAAAATTTGATTTTTTTCCATAGGAATGCATGGGTTAGGGTTAGGGTTAGGGTTGGAGCTAGGGTTAGGGTTAGGGTTAGGGTTGGAGTTAGGGTTAGTGTTGGAGCTAGGGTTAGGTGTGGGCTTGGAGCTAGGATTTTTCTGAGTGCAATGAACCAATTCCCGAGTCTCTAGGACGTTCCTAAAAAAAATGATTTTTTCCCATAGGAATGCATGGGTTAGGGTTAGGGTTAGGGTTGGAGCTAGGGTTAGGGTTAGGGTTAGGGTTAGGGTTGGAGTTAGGGTTAGTGTTGGAGCTAGGGTTAGGGTTGGGCTTGGAGCTAGGATTTTTCTGAGTGCAATGAACCAACTCCCGAGTCTCTAGGACGTTCCTAAAAAAATTTGATTTTTTTCCATAGGAATGCATGGGTTAGGGTTAGGGTTAGGGTTGGAGCTAGGGTTAGGGTTAGGGTTAGGGTTGGAGTTAGGGTTAGTGTTGGAGCTAGGGTTAGGGTTGGGCTTGGAGCTAGGATTTTTCTGAGTGCAATGAACCAACTCCCGAGTCTCTAGGACGTTCCTAAAAAAATTTGATTTTTTTCCATAGGAATGCATGGGTTAGGGTTAGGGTTAGGGTTGGAGCTAGGGTTAGGGTTAGGGTTAGGGTTGGAGTTAGGGTTAGTGTTGGAGCTAGGGTTAGGGTTGGGCTTGGAGCTAGGATTTTTCTGAGTGCAATGAACCAACTCCCGAGTCTCTAGGACGTTCCTAAAAAAATTTGATTTTTTCCCATAGGAATGCATGGGTTAGGGTTAGGGTTAGGGTTGGAGCTAGGGTTAGGGTTAGGGTTAGGGTTGGAGTTAGGGTTAGTGTTGGAGCTAGGGTTAGGGTTGGGCTTGGAGCTAGGATTTTTCTGAGTGCAATGAACCAACTCCCGAGTCTCTAGGACGTTCCTAAAAAAATTTGATTTTTTTCCATAGGAATGCATGGGTTAGGGTTAGGGTTAGGGTTGGAGCTAGGGTTAGGGTTAGGGTTAGGGTTGGAGTTAGGGTTAGTGTTGGAGCTAGGGTTAGGGTTGGGCTTGGAGCTAGGATTTTTCTGAGTGCAATGAACCAACTCCCGAGTCTCTAGGACGTTCCTAAAAAATGTGATTTTTTCCTATAGGAATGCATGGGTTAGGGTTAGGGTTAGGGTTGGAGCTAGGGTTAGGGTTAGGGTTAGGGTTGGAGTTAGGGTTAGTGTTGGAGCTAGGGTTAGGGTTGGGCTTGGAGCTAGGATTTTTCTGAGTGCAATGAACCAACTCCTGAGTCTCTAGGACGTTCCTAAAAAAAATTTGATTTTTTTCCCATAGGAATGCATGGGTTAGGGTTAGGGTTAGGGTTGGATCTAGGGTTAGGGTTAGGGTTAGGGTTGGAGTTAGGGTTAGTGTTGGAGCTAGGGTTAGGGTTGGGCTTGGAGCTAGGATTTTTCTGAGTGCAATGAACCAACTCCCGAGTCTCTAGGACGTTCCTAAAAAAATTTGATTTTTTTCCCATAGGAATGCATGGGTTAGGGTTAGGGTTAGGGTTGGAGCTAGGGTTAGGGTTGGAGTTAGGGTTAGTGTTGGAGCTAGGGTTAGGGTTGGGCTTGGAGCTAGGATTTTTCTGAGTGCAATGAACCAACTCCCGAGTCTCTAGGACGTTCCTAAAAAAAATTGATTTTTTCCCATAGGAATGCATGGGTTAGGGTTAGGGTTAGGGTTGGAGCTAGGGTTAGGGTTAGGGTTAGGGTTGGAGTTAGGGTTAGTGTTGGAGCTAGGGTTAGGGTTGGGCTTGGAGCTAGGATTTATCTGAGTGCAATGAACCAACTCCCGAGTCTCTAGGACGTTCCTAAAAAAATTTGATTTTTTTCCCATAGGAATGCATGGGTTAGGGTTAGGGTTACGGTTGGAGCTAGGGTTAGGGTTAGGGTTAGGGTTGGAGTTAGGGTTAGTGTTGGAGCTAGGGTTAGGGTTGGGCTTGGAGCTAGGATTTTTCTGAGTGCAATGAACCAGCTCCCGAGTCTCTAGGACGTTCCTAAAAAATTTGATTTTTTCCCATAGGAATGCATGGGTTAGGGTTAGGGTTAGGGTTGGAGCTAGGGTTAGGGTTAGGGTTAGGGTTGGAGTTAGGGTTAGTGTTGGAGCTAGGGTTAGGGTTGGGCTTGGAGCTAGGATTTTTCTGAGTGCAATGAACCAACTCCCGAGTCTCTAGGACGTTCCTAAAAAAATTTGATTTTTTCCCATAGGAATGCATGGGTTAGGGTTAGGGTTAGGGTTGGAGCTAGGGTTAGGGTTAGGGTTAGGGTTGGAGCTAGGGTTAGGGTTAGGTGTGGGGTTGGAGTTAGGGTTAGTGTTGGAGCTAGGGTTAGGGTTGGGCTTGGAGCTAGGATTTTTCTGAGTGCAATGAACCAACTCCCGAGTCTCTAGGACGTTCCTAAAAAAAATTGATTTTTTCCATAGGAATGCATGGGACAAAAAATTTGAAAAATTTTTTAAGTGCCAACCCAATTTTTCACCTTCCAGAATTGTGTTAGGAGCACGTTTCAGGCCACGGGGAGTCTATAGAACCTAATTCTGGGGGAAGCTTTTTGAAAAGTTTACTTAGGGTTAGGGTTAGGGTTGGAGCTAGGGTTAGGGTTAGGGTTAGGGTTGGAGCTAGGGTTAGGGTTAGGGTTAAGGTTGGAGCTAGGGTTAGGGTTAGGGTTAGGGTTGGAGCTAGGGTTAGGTTTAGGGTTAGAGCTAGGGTTAGGGTTAGGGTTGGGGCTAGGGTTAGGGTTAGGGTTAGGGTTAAAAGAAGTCAGGGCCTGTTGACAGGAGGGCGCTACATGTGATAAAATACACTTTTGAAGCATTTCTGCTGCCATGGATTCATGCTTTCTTATTTTGTGATGGAAATAATGAGCTCAGAGTTCAGTTCACATGAATTGAAATGAACTGGGTCACATTCATAATCAATTTCTTTTTTCAAAACTAAGTTTAAGGTCCAAAAAAGAAACTATTTAACATTCATCTTTTTCAGCTGTACCTAAATTCTCGCCTAAGCTTCAATACCAAACTCTGACATTTTCCAAACTAAATGCATGATCAAACTTTACTCAAGAGTCACAGATGAATATTGAGTCTACAAGCCAAGAAAATCCTATTCCAGCATGTTTCATTAATCAAATGTGAAAAAAATCTGCAGCTTTGAAGACATCAAAACACACAACTATGATTTGTTGGAAGAAGATTCTGCTAAAGAGTCCAACTTTATCCCGAACACATGGGAAAATCAGCTTCATAATTAACAATGAGGACGAGATGGTTTTTACTTCCTCTGAAATAAAAGAGCTAAGACTAAAGAAATACTCAGCAAAGAGACTTCCTCTCCATTTTCAAAAAGCTGCACCTGACGGAAACCAAACAGGTTTTTGCACATCATGGTCCATCTATGTGTTCCTGAAGTGAAAGGGTAAAATGAGGTTAAAAGAGGTTGTAGCGCTGTAGGACCCTTGGAGGCAGAGTCTATAAATAGGGGCTGGATCTCACCTGAGCCTCCCTTTCTGCACTGACACCGGAGTGCACCTGAGTGAGCAGCTGAGCCCAGACTTTGTCTCCTCTAGTGGTCTCTTTATATTTGGAAACATGTTAAAAAGATTTTCATGATTATTTTACTGCAGCATGAAATAACTTGTTTTAAATTATAGAGTGACATTAAGTCAAAGCTTTGTTTAGCATTTGTGTTAGATTTTCCACCCTTTGTATGGGACTAACTCTTGAGAGTGATCGCTTAGGCATATTAGCAGAAAACCATAGTGAGGCAGTGTTTTAGATATTCTTATTTTAGTTTGACTTCTTTTAAATATACTTTTAAAATGTGAATTTTATTGAACAAACTCTACTTGAAGAGCCAACCACTGTTTTTCCCAGACACATGTCTGTCATTTTCATTAAAATCATTTTATGTCTTTTTGATTTTGAATAGTTTTAAAGGGATATTCCGGCTTAAAATTAATTTTGGGTCAAACACACTGTAACACTGAGTTAGACACCCCTTCCAGCTGCTGGAGGAGAGTAGGTGAGTTGTGTTTAGTCTCTTTGCTAAAGAAATCAGGCAAAGCTAAAAAGATGTTTGGTGGCTGGGACCCTATATGTACTGTTGATGAAGTTAGGTGCTGTTCTGAGCATTATTTGTGGTTATAGAGTGGCGTTTTGGTTGAGGTTTGTTTATGGCTCCTCAGACCGCTGTGTATTGCTATCGTGCGGTCGTTACTAAAGTTGGTATAACTAGAGAAGCAAGCAGTCAGCAACATTCATCTCTTAAGGGGGTGTCTAATCCGGTGTTACGGTGTATTTGACCCTAAATTAATTTTATGCCGGAATATCCCTTTAATCTCTCTTTTTTAATTTCTTGTGTATTTCCTTGCATCTGTAAAGCACTTTAAATTGCTTTGTGTATGAATGGTTCCATACAAATAAACTTGCCTTGCCTTTTCAGCAGGTCTGATCAGGAGAAAAAGCCCTGAAGTTTTCCTGCGTAACTGTGCAAGAGGATGCAGTTGACAGACTCGCACTCACTGGGTGCAGTTGATCAGCAAAGGTTTGCTGATTGTTAAAAGTTTAAAAGTTACAAGACCTTTTGAATGCCATCCTCTATTCCAGCATCTCAAAAGTTTTGAATGCTGTTTGACGTAGCTGATAAAGAGAGACTAACCTGTGCTTGGGAACCATGAGTGCACTCTATGTAGTCCTCTCGAAATGAGTTGCATTGTTATCGGGCCTGTGTCATTGGAAACTGGAGAGGTTTACAGCTAAAACTACAATATACTTTTTTGAGGACGTGTTTGCAGAAGGAGACAAGTGACTCCTGTTTAGAAAAATGAATCCCCCAAACAACAATCAGTATTTCAGGCATGAGCGCTCTGTTTGAGTTTTCTTATTTTGCAGAAGTTCACATCCTTGTGTTTCGACAAAGCACCGACATTGAAATTCACAGCGTGCAGTCAAAAATCCTCGATTTGAAACATACTGGAGAGAGTTCCAGTTTCTACAAAAGCGGATGAAAAACTCAGCGACAGTGCCTGTAAGTCAAAGTTGAAGTGCAGTTTGGTTCAACACTCCAGGAACTTTGTGTGATACAATATTAATGATCCAGCATTAATAATGAATCCAAAAGAAGACGAGAACGTGTTGCTGTTTCACATCAATGAGTTGTCGAAGAAGAGGAATCATCTAATGAGAAATTTCACTCAAAATTAAACATAATGTAATCAATTAACCATCAGTAACCAATCATTAAACCCTCAAATATTCCCAAAATAGTCCTTATCTGATGGCAAAGCATCACTTAAAGCCATAACCCAGTTTTCAGCTCTTCTTTTTGTATTCTCTTTATCCTTTTCTAATCAAATGCTTGACAGCAGAGAGCGTGGCTGTTTCCGTTGCAGTTTGTCTTGTACAATAGCGGGCGTACAGTATCAGAGGCCTAAAATGGAGCACAGCGGCGTCCCCAAATGAAAGCCCCCAAATTGGCATCCACATAAGAGGAAGGAGGGTGTGTGTGTGTGTTTCTCAGTCTCCCTCCGACACTCTGACAGCTGTGTCACTTTCACAGGCCTCATAATGAGCATCCCTGTCTCAGCTCTTTCCCCCAACCTCACCCTCGATCTCTTCTTCGCATTTCTTCTCCTTCTTCTTCTTCATTCTGTCTATCATTCCCGGTGGCTTGGCCTGATCTTTGACTGCCACCCCCATTTTCTTTGCAGGTCCATCTTCTGCTCTGGTTGGCAGGTAATTACCAGCCAGGTGACAGCAGCCTGTTCGAGGAGTTGAGAGGTCATCAGGGTGTGATCACTTTTTCTTTTTGTTGTACAGACTTTTTCAGGAACTCCTTGTGAGGCAGCGATATGTATTGTTAGTACAGAGCTGTAGCTTCCATCTTTATGTTTTTCTATTGTGAGCGCTGCTCCCATCTTCATCCCCCCCAACTATCTTTGATCCTGTGACTGAAAGGAGGGTTGTGTAAAGGGCTTGTTTTTTCTGACTTGAACACAGTCATTACAGGGAAACAGCAGGATAATGGTACAAGTTTAAGTGCATGTGAGGGCATGAGAAAGAAAAAACTGTACACTAAGTGGAAGAGAAAAAAGGAGAGAGCAGCATCAAGGAAAAGATGAAACAAAACCCGGAGACAAAGCGTGTCAACAATGCGATAGCGGATTAAAGTGACAGTTTAAAGTCAGAGGGAAATGGTTTTTTGATGGCGTCTTTCTAGTGGAACAGTAGAGGGAGGGACAGCTCAAAAGTATAAGCAGGTTGGACCGTGACAAACATTGAAAAAGATTTGAAAGAAGTGCTTGTAAGTTTCCCTTTTGTTGTAGGAGACTATTGTTGCCTCTAGCAATTCTGGCTGGAGAAAGTGATGCAGAAAAACTTTCTCTAACATGGATGAAGTTGTAGGTTTGTACAGAGCAGGAAAAGGTTTCAGGGAAATCTTCAGATACCTGTGATAGAAATTTTTAGCAGGCCTTGAAAGCCCTTTTTATTGATATTTGGTCACCTTAGAGCAGCTGTCCAACAAAGTTTTAATATGTTGGAAATCAGGCACATTAACCATTTAGCAGAGATTCACAAGAGACGTATTTTGTTCCCTTGTAGCTCTATTTTTGGTCTCCGCCACCCCTCAAAGGAAAGTCAATCTATTAAGAGGCTAAATTCTTGGATATTTTTACCATCTACAGTCTGATTTCGTGCATTTTCTGCTTTCTTTTATCAGGTGTGGACAGGTGCCTTATTACAGGGTTGGAAGTACTTTCTGTTCTCAGAGGTCTCTAAATTGTGATTATGAAGTTTTTAGCCAAAATCACATTACATGTGTCATTTTCAAGGGCTTTTCTTCTGCAGAGCTTGAGTAGCTCATCAGCGCTGCTCTGCACACTCCTATTCACGTTAGCTTGTAGTCTAACATTGCTGGTGCAGTCGAAGTGGCAGGTAACATAGGAGCTATTCAGCTCTCTGACACTATTGTCTTTAAGGGCATGATGAAAGTTTATATCATAATTAGCTTTCTTACGAGCATTGCAATCCGCCAACGCACACGCTTGTTTCATGATCATCCTCTCTACTTTTTCGAGTGTGGCCTGCATAGTGGGGCTCCGGGGGCGGAGCTTAGATTTGTTACGAAGGAAATCTCACTGTATCTGAGCCTGCCGTTTGGGTCTGCCAGAGATTCACAGCGCTTTATATTCAGAAATACTCTCATGATATTTTCCTGAAGCATCAGGAAAATACCATATGAACATGTAGACAACAAGAAAAACATAATTTTTATCGAAGTCGGTCTCAGAAGTTGTGTTATATAATGAAAGGAATAACCCCTGTTGTCTTTTAAGGCTAAATGTAGCACTCACCATGAAAATCTACACAGGGAAAAAGTAATTATGGCTGTTTCCTCAGTGTACATATCCTCTCACAGCCATTATAGGTGTCAAAAATTATGTTTTAAAGGTTACCAGGCTTGTCATCAATGGTCTTTCCTTGTTTTTTCACATCATAGAGATGCAGCTCTGTTCATTTCAAACAAATCAAAAACTCCTCACAGGAGCTTTGATCTAAACAGAAGTAAATCTGCGGATGCCTGGAGGCAGAAATAAAGAGAAACTGGAGACAATGTTTTAGTGTAAAGGACACCCAAATACAACTTTTTGCTCATTAAATCTAGACCTCCCTATTGTCAGATACTGTATTTAAATAAATCTTTAATAATCTCTGGCCTGAGGCCTGATGCCTCTCTGCGCCCTCATGTCTACAATGACATAGATGTACAACAGTGAGCCGTGTCCTCTACTCTGGCTTCCCGGTCTTTCGTCTTGCTAAGCGGTGTTAATTGTTGTCTGTGTGATCTGGTCATGTTTTGGTTGGCTCATACCCCTTATTTATCTCATTCACCGAATTAACACATTGAAACAGCATCCTGCGGCTACATTTGAAGCTCAAAGAGCCATAAGCCGCCCATTTAACATTAGCTTCCCCACACTAATGGGGACACAGGTGTGAAATAAAAAAGGGAACAAAGTAGAGCAGCATTTGGTCTCATGATGTGCTCTGTGGTTAATCAGCCACTTCATAACAGCTTTTGTCTGTCATTACCTCAAACTCAAACATTTAGAGAAAACTGGGGTGTACCGTTATATGTATAAATCTTATGGTTTGATGAAAAGATCTGACTTAATCTCAAAGATGTGAAGGAAGTAGATCCTTCCCAGAGCTAATGCTTGTTGAAGCTAAAGCTAATATTTTTGTACAGTTGGTGTTTTACCTGGATACCTGTATTGAGCTCAACTATCAGGAGCTAGTATGGTAGCAGAAGGAGATGGTACAGGAGAGGGCTTCACAGCTTCACAGAAAATGCATGTTGTTGATTTTCTTAAAAGCAATTTAAAGGCATGGTTGACGATTGAAGAGATTGGTAATTATTATGAACCTTGTTTCTATGGCGATCATGGTCCTATAGTGCGATCTCCACAAAGTGAAGAGAAAAAAGAATGGCAAAAATCTGTTCACCCTAGCAGCTGCAGGGCTGTAAAAACATTGACCAATGGGAGCCATCTGTCCCGGACAGCTCCTATTGGTCGATCTCCTGCTCCACCTCTCCGTCCAATCACTTTGCGGTATTCGACACACTTCTCTCCCGTTGTTCTGGCACGTCTCCTCCCACTCTCCAGGCCCTCCTTGGAGCTCTGAGCGGCTTAAAGTAGCGTAGCAGCTTAGCTACAGGAGCTGTGATGGAGAAGGAAGCAAATAAACACTTCTGCTTGCCCCACCGCCAAATGCTAAGAAAACGCAAACCGACAAAAGAGAGGGCATAGTCAAAGAGGAAATGTGACCAAGCGATGAATCTAACTTGAATAAACATCGGGTCATCCTTCGAGCGGTGGAGAAAGCTCCGCCAGGATTTGGGCCTGAAAACAGATGCCGAGACAGCAGAGTTTTTGTTGAACAGGTAATTTTTGCCTTTGATCGTGGCGTATTTTACATAAACAACTCTTATTAGTCTCTGCAATGTCAACACAGTAGCTGTCCAGGCAGCTGCAGACGGTGCTCGCTTTCAGAGCTGGCGTTTACTGCTGCTAGTCACTAGCGATCCAACATGGTGAATCCTATTTGAAGCAAGCGCAGGATCTTCTGACGGCCGGCTTCTTGCTCTGCCAGAGGGGGGTGTGTTGTGGGGAGGGCGATACAGGTTTGGGGGGGAAGTTACCATGGAGCACAGAGAGGAGAGGTTTGTGTGTGGGGGTTGGGACGCTTTTTTCAAAATCTGCCTCAATGGCTCAGTTTTTTTTTTCAACTGCTTCTCCAATCGTCAACCATGCCTTTAAGTCTTTGTGTAGGAGGATGACTTCAACCCTTTTTGCTGGGGGACAACCTCAAAAACTGATCTACAGTGGTGCAGCTCCTTTTCCTGATTATGTGACACATGCACTCCCTCACTAGTAATGGGATCTGTTTGAAACAGTTAGGGACCAAGTTCACCATAACGTGTATTTCTTAGCTTCTGAATCTTATTTCTACGTTTGGTTTGGTTGTACAAACAGATGAACTTCTAGAGAAAGACTCAGCTGTTCCTGTGAGGTTGCAAAAGGTAAATTTAAATCACATCCTAAGAGAAGCCACCACGCCTGTCAGAGTGACTCCACTGTGATATTTTCAGAGCGATATGAACAAGCTGTGTCTCTTCCTCCTGCTCAGCATACTGTTATTGCACACTTAGACCTTGGTTATATAAGACTCAGTAGCCTTTATTTAGCCAGAGAAGGCTTTCATTTGAGGTGCAGCATAAATGATGCAGGGCTCTGAATGACGCACGCAGACACAAAAGCAACGGAAAGGTTTCCCACTGTGGCCACCATTCTGGGCAAAAACATCGCCACCATGCTGGCAACAAGGCTGAGTCACAAACTGGACGCCGTGTATGACGTCTGCACCTCAACTTAAAGTCTGCGGCTGTAGGCTCCTCCCAGGAAGAAGAACATCTAAGTAAACTCTCATATTTAGATGCAACTCTGTAATTCAAGAGTCAGTCGTTGATGCGTTTAAAGAAAGAGAGGAGCGATGCACTTTCTAAATAAGTAAAAAGTTTCTATTTGAGCTTCGCTTTGATGCTCCCAACAAGCTTTAAAGACAGTCAGGAGGGTGTGGTTGGAGTCTCGGCATCCACTTCCTCAGACCAACACCACAGAACATTCTGGAAACTGCTGACTGTCTGTTCCTGCCCACAACCACAACGCCATGTACAACCATCATCTAGCAACAAGACAGTGTCTTCTTGCACCAGCTAACCCTAATACCTACTCTGACAGCGCAATTATCACATCCACATGACAGTTGTCTTCCTGCTATAACACTAGATTTGAAAATGGAACATGCACCGTCCTCTTCAGTTGCATCTGCATGTTACAGACAACTGAGAGAGAACGTGGCTTTCATTGGAAAACACCCCCTGTCCTGATTGATATGCAACAACTGTCCTCATATAGGCTGCCTGCTATTACTGCTGCTGGACTGGGAGAGAAAAAAAAAAGGCAGAAAGGCACAGAGACTCAGATGAAAAGCCCACAGCTTACTCTGTGATCCAGCGTCTCTTTTTTTGTGCCCAGAGAAAACAGGACTGAGCTGTTTTCTAAGCTCAACAGACCTGCAGATGTGTTGCTAATTTCCTGTTTATTAAACCGGTTTAATTGATCCTTCAGCGTTGCTCAGGATTAACATCAGTTTTCTTCCTACTATGAGATATGAAAGGTTAAGCCCCAGAGTACGATTGTGTTTGACTCGAGTCTTTGATCTGTGGCGTATAGAGGAAAATTCATCCCTTGTGATGCAAGACACAGAAATAAAGTCGTCACTGTGTTTGTATGACGGATTCTCGTTTGTTGTCCTGTGCTAAAGGTCAGTGCTTTTCTGCTGAGCCAGGCTCAAAAAAATCAGGACGTATGCCCCAGTGAGCAGACTTCACAAGGCTTGTCAGATGTTTTTTATGGCTTTCAGCTCACACACACTCACTGTTGCCGCCAGATTCAGTCAACCCTCATGTTGCATTACCTATAGCGGGGCGGCTCGAGCCATGACTTAGCTCATTAGACAGAGACAAAAGAGGGCCTGACAGTTTACATAACCACAGCAGATATGTGCCCTGTAGGCATAATCAACAACAGCAAAACATCTCCTTAATTAAAAATCATTAACTTGATGCATTTGCGATTAACACCACCAATTAATTACACGCAGAGCTAATGTCTCATAAATAATGGAAAGCAGAGTAGAAGGATGAAAGGATGGATGGATTTGTTCAGGGTAGCAAGAGAGGGAAAGAACAGATGGATGATCCTTTCGCTCGTTTTGCTGCGTCGCTTCACGTCCCGTCCCCCCGCCCAGACCACTAAACTGCACTAATGGGCTTCTGGTGTCAGTGGTCCAGCATTAATGGCGACACTTTTGTTTAGGAGGACAAATGAATGTGTCTGAACCGCTGCTGGAGCCATCTGTTGACAGGGGTCCACATCCACTGAGGCTGCGTCGGCCACTGCAAGGGAATGAGGCCCTTAAGTCTAGCATTGCTAATTTCATTAAGTGTGTAAGAGGCCACAAGAGTCTGCAAATACACTCCACATCTGTATGTTTGTTGTTTAAACAGGATGAAGTGTTTTTGAGTCACAGAGGCAGATGGTCAATGCTTGGGCCCAGTTCTGGATTTGAAGTGCTGCTACTACATCTAAGTCACAGGGTACGGCACCGAAGTTTCAGGGTGAAAACAGCCATCTGGAGATACCCAAAAGCTAATTGACGAGGAGACATTTATGAAGTCATGACTCTACATATGTCACAATGATTTTCATAATTTTCATGACTGAACTGTTGACCTTTTGGTAGATATTGTTGGACCTCATTTTGCAAAATGTAGAGTTATATTTACAACTTAATCACAGATATTCCAATCAGCCTGTAATAGACTGTAAATACTATGGACAACTTGGTTCTGCCTCCCGCCTGCATACGGATTTGAAGCCAAAAAGCTCTCTGTAATTCTGCGTTTTTTCTCCACTTCCTGAAACCAACAATGCGCGGAAGCGTTGTACGCACTCCACCACTTGAGCAGTACCATTGGACGCTTTTCGCAGGAAAGTCGCTGTGATGACACTCGGCTCAAACAGCGTATCCCCCGGGTGAGCTATGCAATCTTCATACGCCCATAGGCTGTATCAAGTGTCAATCATAAAAAACATGAACCCCCTAATAACTTTTAAAAATGGAGCTGCACAGAAAAAAAGAGGACCTGAGCACAAACCAGTCTTACAGTAACTATATAACATCGCAAGCAGGGGGAAAAAAATGTATGTTCTGTGTAATAAATTTCTAAAGTTTGTCCACAACTCCATAAGGATTGCTGGCGGAGGCGGGATTTATGACCTATACTGCAGCCCATCACCAGAGGGTGCTGTTCTGGGGGTGGCTTCACCCAGCGAGGAGGCAGATACTGTCCATTCTTTATACAGTCTATGGTTACAATGCAATATGCAGTGATCATGGTGAGTAAAATATAAAATGTAAAGCATTATTCTTAACGATCAACATGCTAGTATGGATCTGATGTGCTAACAATAGCTGTTAGCTCTTTGATTATAGAGTTTGAAATACTGGATTTCTAGTTTTCATGAATTATAAGCCAAAACTCTCTGTTTGGAAAAGCTTCAAAACCTATTTGAATTGTTCAGAAGACTTAACATTTGTGCCTCCAAACAATTTGAAGTCTTTTTGAAAGGGATATTAAACAAGAACTTTTTTTCAGAACATGCTCTGCCATTTATTATTTGATGTGGAATACATTACAGCCAAAAGTTGGTGATGCAGATTTTATTAACAGAGACAAAAAAAACATCCTTCAAATTGTGGATGGGTTTCACATCTGACGCTGACTTTTATTTTTTATTCATTCTTTTTAACACGCCAAGCATCACCTCTGTAATTTCTCTTTTTCTCACTCTGTAGAAATATCCTCTCCCTCTCTGTCCCTGATTCCCCTCTCTCTGTCTTGTTTCTACCTCCCCACTGTTCCCCACTCCCTGTCTGTAGCAGCAATAATGAAAAATAGCTCTCCTTCATATCTTTGAGTATATCTTAAAAAATAAAAAAAAACCTCCCAAGGCTCCCGTCCAAGTTGGAAGCATTTCTTTTGATATACTGCAGAACAATTTCATGCCCAATTCATTTATTCCCGAGGTACTTTAATTGTGAACTATTTCCAGACCCACTGTAAATTTCTTACCATCTAATGTTGTAAAAGTGGTTCCAGCAATTCTTCTCAAAGTGTAGGGTTTGCATTAGAAATTCTATGCTCTGTGAGCGCTTTATTACACAATCTTAATTACAGATGTTCAATTGATACCATCTCTGACTGGACAAGTGCTGAAAATATAAAATATTCATGGAATCTGAAAACGTTTGTACTAATGAGTCACAGCTAGACCTCAAAAACTCATCCATTTCCTCATGCTCTGTGAAGCAGAAAAAACAAGTTATGCGTGTTCTGCTTTATAGTGTTCTGTTAAATTAAGGTACAGCTGACTCTAGCCTTTCTGTGTAAACAAATAAAGCATCTCAGAATCTGTCCTTGGCTCACCAGCCAAAAGCCTGATCTGTAACATCCCCATTCTGTTCTTGGGTTATTCCACAATAAACTTATTATACCATAACCCAACAGTATAAGTAGTAGGCTGCACTAAAGCTACCACAAACCACTTCCTCTTTCTATTATAGAGCAGCAGCACAACAAAGTCAGCCTTTATCTGTAGCTCTGGCTTCAATGCAGAACAATGCTAAAAAACGACATCTAGAGCAACCTTTGTTTCAAATGGTTCAGAAGTATTTAACAGAAGAAACAGCATTTCCTCACCAACTCTCCAACATTTTGATTTGGCTGCTCCATTTTCATAGCAGACACGTCGACTTGTCGCAGTGAGAAAAGGACAGGTATCACCAATAATATTAACAATGGCACTGTTATTTTCAAGCATCTGACTGAGCTGCTGCAGTGTGACAGTGAGCCAGCATGAACAATGCCAAGGTCCTGGAATTGAGGCTGCTAAATCAGTATCAGCCATCATTGGATTTTTTTTTAGCTATTGTGCTTTTCAGACCATAATATGTCAAAGTGTCTGCTGTGAAAAAGTAGACTACCTAAAAAAGTTACCACTACCCACCAGCTTGAGCAGGACACCAATGTCACATTCAAGAACACAAATTGTTTCAAACAAATTGACCTCAAAGGACAGAAGTTATTTTTTTTATTCTGCAAGTTACTAATTTTAGAAATGATTCTGAACAAATCAAAAGAGTTAGAGCTTACATCTATGAATACAAACTTTTTTTTTCTGAGGCAGTAATTAAAGCTCCTAAAAGGAACTTTTGGTTTGGGTCAATTTTAACACCTCTTGTGGACAGAGCAGTCTTTGTTTGTTTGGTTTTTTTTTTTGTTTCTTTACATGCATAATTAGAAAATTTCATCCTTTTGAGTTTTGTAAAAACATGACTGTTTATGCGGCTGATCAGCTGACACCTACCCCTCTGCACTAGTTTTAGGCATTAAAAAAGATGATATAAAACTGCCAGCGATGGTCTTGCTTTCTTTTGTTAATCATAAAACAACATCAATGGGAATTTCAGTGTAGTTCATTAATAAAAAAATCTTCATAGGAACTTTAAGCTTTAACGTTTTATCATCAATGTGATATGCTCATTATTTTACCTTTACATGCCTAAATTTTTATTTCTCTCAGTGTCTCATTTTTTAATTTTTTTTTTTATACACCCTTAATGTTTCAAAGGAGAAAGGTCAGAGGATAACTACAATCACTGAGGTCCACCCTCTAGGAACCATGACTCTCTTTATCAAATCTGAGCCAATGCTAAAAGTAAATGTTGATATATTTCAAAAGGTAAAGGATAATTTTGATCCTGTCATAAAAAAGAGAGGAAAGCCAGAGAACAACAGACCCAGCATCACTCATAGCCCTAGGACAATGAATCTATAAAAATAATCTCTGTGCATGTGGTAGGAGATATTTTCAAAAAAGTTACACAGACAGATGGAGACATCGCTGTAAAAAATTTATACCTGTCGTCCCCTGTACAAACTATTTTTGAGTTGCAAAGAGGCTGAACTGCATTTGACCACATCCTGAACCAGAAAGCTTCAAAATTCTGCCTTTCGTGCAGCATGGTCGGGAAAGTAACAACACAGTCTTAAGCGTAGAGCATCTCTTATCTCGCTTGTCTTTTATTCAGCCCAATTTAAGCTTCAACCCCGACCTGATGATTTAATTGATACTTAATCTGATGGTTAATTTTTCTCAGATTGTTGTCAGATGGTTTCAAAACCCGCTACTAAAACATTTTTAGTTGTGGGATTTGGGAGGGTCTAACAACATATACAGCTAAAATCAATTATATGTCACTTCCACTCGATTATTGCTGTGATAATTCAGCTATGCAGAGGTGAAAGAGGAGTCACAGTTCTATCGCCTCCCTGAAGCTCTCTGTTTTGCATTTGTTAGACAACTATTTCTGTCACTTTTCCTGTGAGCTACCAAGTGGAAAACCAGGAATATCTTCCAGGAGAAACTGTCTCCTGAAAATGTACACTTTCATCCCCATATTTACTTGATATCATGCCCCCTCCCCAAACTCAACCCCCATGTGAACCTCTGATACCTCAGCTCCAACCTAAAAAGTCAGTCAGACTTAACAAAGCCATTTCCAGAGTACATCTTTCTTACATGGAAGGAACATATTCTATTCAAATATTCTGCCTATAAAATGTTTCTGAGGGTGTAGAGCAGGGTTCAACACAGAGTACATGATATCAGGAATCCTAAATTTCCAGTAAGTATCTGCAAAATTACACAAAACTGAAATAAATGTATAAAACTACAAAATTTAATCCATTTTAAATTATAGTCATGAGAATATTCACCTGTCTTCATTTCCCAACCTGGTCACACACAAACCGATCAGAGGAGAGGAGTCTGGCACGTCTCACTTCTGCCTGTTGACACTGTAGCAAACAGAAGTTTCTGTAACCGGCTGGTTTAAAGATTCTTGGGTATGGAAAAGTGAAGATTTATCCCGTCCTGCAATCCAGACTTTGCCATCTCTCATATGTCAGATGGCGGTTACTATAAAGTTACTTAGACTATAAGAGTTAGCAATAACAAAGTGGTTATATTTCCTCATTTGTGGTTAAGGATGTAAAAAAAAACATTCCTGCAAAATGTAAAGTCCAACTGAACCTTTAATGGGCACGGTCAAACCAGTATAAATTATAACAGACAAGTAAGCTAATATCTCATTTTGACCATGAATTGAAATGATCAGTTTAAAGTTAATTGGTTCTGCAGGAAGACTGATAAGAATCTGTTGCCATGGAGACATAGCATACTGTACAATCAGTGAGACTATAATTCAAGAGTATAAATTAATGATTTTTGATCAGTGAAAACTTCTTTGAATCAATGTTTTATGCCTGAAGTCTACACTGGGGTCTTTATTTGCCCTGTCACCTACTCACTGTACATTACTCCTTGACTCACATCCTTTATCTTGCATTGAGCTGTTGTATTTAATAGAATAAAGTCCAAAAAATTAGACCAGTAAACATGCTTTTATTTTAGAGTTAGAATCTGTTCTGCATCCCATATCTTTTCCCAGATAGACACCAAGTCAGTTTTGCAGTGGAGAAAATAAAAAGTTAATGTTGGTGAAAAATGCATCATCCTTATTTCTCCATAATTCTACATGCTGTTGCCTGTAAATCTATTACAAGACCAGCAATCTTTGTGATATGAATCTGTATTCTAAGGGATAAATCACAAAATGATGTACAAACAAAATGATTTAAAGCATCTGTAATGGATCAGATCTCATATATCCATCTGTAAACTTCAGATTTCTCAACAGATCCATAGATTTTTACACCATCAGATCATTTTGCATACTTATTCCCCACATACTGATATATAACATTATAAAGCCAAAGGGTTTAAAAATTTATCAAAATTTATCCATATTTCCTGCCCTGTAAAATCAACTCAAAGCTTTACTGCTGTGTTATGTAATCAGATATCTAATCATTTAAGCCTTTTTATATCAAGCAGAGTAAGTGATTAGCTGATCAAACAATGCAGCCAGGTTTTCTAGCCTGCAGAGAAACACAGTATTCATCTGAATATTGGCATTGTTTTGCATACAGCAGTGATGGACTTGTTTGCCAAAACAGGACAAAGAAATCGTCTTTGTCTGAGCAGTGAGCATGTGCAGACACATTCAGTGTCCATGCAGCCACAGAGCCTCTCAAATCAGAAAAAGCCTCTTAAATCCGAGCTCGGCAGGAATTGTATCATAATAGGACACCTCTTATCCCCGCTAAACAAGGACACGCAGGTTTGGTAATTGAAGCACGCATGTTCTGAATGTGTAATATTAATGTAGAGAGCTATCTATCAGGATTTAATTAAAAGATAAATACAGCAGGGGTTTAACAAGAGGCTTAATTTCACTAACACATGAATGTACACCTGCTCCTTCAGGATGTTGGGGGCTGGTTGGATTAGTCTTTGATTAGGAAGTGGAGCTGATGGGGCAAAGAGAAGAGGGTCATTACAAGAAGCTGCTTGAACTCCAAACCTCAGCAGCTCCTCCGGGGCTCAGCATTTTACTTCTCCATCTACAGCAAATAACAGGTGGAGTGTTGATAAGTATTACAGGCACAGACTGTCGGACAAGATTTGCTCATTCTGTTCGAGAAAACAACTTTAACAGTGTTATTAATGGAGATCATTTTGGTGAATGGACCTTTTTTAATTTCATTTTTATGCTTTTTGTGGTTTTATATGTAAGGGCAAGACAGTGGATGGAAAAGGAAGTGGGTAGAGAGAGTGGGGGAATGACATGCAGGAAGGGGCCACAGACTGGAATCGAACCTCGACTGCCCACTCAAGGTCCAACCTCTGGATACATGGTGTGCTAAGACCACTAGGCCATCAGTAACGGTGCTCCATTCTACACTTTTCTGGTCATCCTTTACACCACAGATCACATTCAGCCACTTTCCCAGTATTAAAGGTGGAAAAGGCAGGATTCCGTTAAAGAAGTAGAATAAAAGTGGTGAAAAAACATTTAATATCAGTCAATAGCTATTAGGTATTAATTACATTTGGTAATATAATGATATCACTGTGTTTTGTTATGTCTTTATAGTCAACATCTTAAAATAAACAAAGCCATTCTCCGCCTCCCCCATCCTGATTGGTTGTGATGCGGATGCTGCTCCCTAGTGCTGATTGGTTGTGAGGCAGATGCTGTTCCCCCGTGTCATTCAAGAGCCCAAACAAAGTTAGCGTGCTACAGTATTGGACAGTAGAAACCAACCAGAAAGTATGGAAAATTGTCTGAATCCTCCTTTAACCACGACCACCATCACAAGCAAGAAAACAAAGTAAATACTGGAGACTCCGGCACTCAAAAAGGAGGTAGATCACCCGGACAAGAGTTAAAAAAAGCCGGGTCAACAATGATGGGGATGCTTTGGGATCTTATGGACTCTGTAACCTTTCTGCTGGACAAAGCGAACAGGAGAGTCTGTTTGTGGGCGGGGCTTGCTGGAGTAGAGATGGAGGGGAGAGGAGGAGCTGAGGGGAAAACTGGTTGGTAAGGGTAGAGTTTACATTCAAGATTTCTCTCAAAAACTGGCACTTCCTCAGATCCTGTCTACCCCACCTTTAATTAACTCCAATTACATACATTCTCAAGGACACTCTGGCATGTGACTGGTGGACTGAATCACCAACCCTCCAGTTGAGAGACTCCTAACTGTACTTTTGAGCCACAGGGACCCTTCTCTTCTGCACAGAGGGATAAGTGACTGATCAGAGCACAGCAGCCATGTCTCAGCTGAACACTAATTGTGAAATCTAGCCAATGAGAAAATACATATAGCAGCATGCAAGCAATTACTATTAGGACAAGTCAATTAAGTGTTTGTAATAGAAAATCATCTTTTCATTTCAGGTTGTCTGCCTAAGCGACTCACCCAGGATTTGTTGGGTATGACCTGCTTGACTTTTACTTCAAGTTGCTTAATACCAAATGTCCTTGGAACAGATCTGTAAAAAAAAGTCACTTGCTTGATGAATTTATTCTTTCTATATAAGCATGTTAACTTAACCTCTGAGTTAGTTTGCATTTGAAGCAGAAAAGTGTCATTCAGTCACAAGTGGTCTTATCTCAGTTGGACTTGCACTTTAAGCTGTCCACTTGTGATTCAGTCTCTAAAAAAAACAAACGTTGGTCTCAAAAGAGAATATTTGTTTCAAAATCTTAGACAAGCACCCTTTTCCCTCCCTGTGAGGATCTCCAATTCTTTTGCCCCTCACAGAAAGGATACAAAAGTCTGCCTCTAGAGTATGACAGAAAGATAAGACAGCCGCACTCATCATGAGTCTTGTATTGTTAGGACAGAAGCAATTCTCTATTGAAATAGTTTTCACTTGTGTCTGTCACTGCTTGGAGGCATGAGAGCGATAAATCTGTAAAATTTTGAGTGAAACTTTATTCCCTTGTCTTAAAAAGGCGTGAATCCCATTTGAAACTAACTATAAGACCCAGAAACTAAGTCTTTTAAAGTCACAGGCTTGAATATCATACACTACAATAAAACTGATGATATTCTGACAGCTTGAAAATGAACAAAGAAAACATTTTTATTAATAGATTAAAAGAGGAGTGAGAAAACTAGACTTTTTAGAGTTAAAATGCAAACTGGATGTAGTGGTTGTGATTTGGCTGAGGAAAAGATTTTGTATAAAAATGGACAGAACAACAACTTCAACGAGTGAAGCCAGAACTTTTACAGCCTTGTAATGACCAGCTGAAAACTTGCCGACTCCATAACCACAGAAGAGACATGAGTTAAACTACACATGTGAAATACATTTTTCTTAATATGCTCTCTGTTTCAGCAGTCTGTCATGTAAACAGCATATTTAACAATTGTAAAATCATGTCTAAGGACATTAATACCCCTCAATACAGCTCACCAAAGAGACTTCCTCTGCTAATAAAAGCCTCTTATTCACTTAAATATCAAAGGATTTCATAAAACTGGATCTGGTTTGTACAAAGTGAGTTTTTACATAAAACACTAATTACCACCTTCTTAATCTTAGGTCTTCAAATTGACACTCATCCCACTTCAACAACCAGCTATTACATGACAAAGCTGACTTCTCTCTTAGTGTCTGAGCAATTTAGCAAAGTTACCTTGAGATACGAGTTTTTTTTGTTTTTTTTCATATTTGCTGTCAGACATTCTGAGAAAATCATAAACATCAGCAGCCTCCTTTTTTTGTTGACAGGGGCAGCAAGTATTTTAGAATAATTCAGTGAAGATCAGGGAGGCTAAAGGCACTGAAATACTCTTTTACCTCTTTTGTTTGCTTGTACATAGCTTATTTCTGAAACACTCTACACTTTGTTAATAACTTTATTTCTTTTGTTCTGCACTTTTTACTAACCGTTGCATTTCCTTTTTATTCTTCTCTTGTTCCTATTTCTATTCACATTTCATTGATTATTGTTTTTTCAAGAGCAAGTGCAATGCTGTAATGACCAAACTGTCCCCCGTAATAATTATGATTATTTTGAAGCGTGTCTTACTTGCCAAAAAGCAATAACCTGCAATTAAAAGAGCATTTTTATTTGAAAAGCACTTATTTGTTTTATGTTCCTGAGTTGGATGTGCAAGTTGATGTCAGTGTTATGACTGTGCACACAGAATTTGTTCAGCTTATCTCTGCATAAAAATCAGGGGGAACAAATACACCCTCCAACACCTCTAAACCTCTCTACTTAACATGGCACATTACTGTTAAATCCTTCCACAAACAGAAATGTAAAAACAACACCTTTTTGTTTTCATGGGGATTTGAGCAGTGATCAGCAGCTCAACAGTTCACATAAGCCCTTCTTGCCAGTGTGAGGGTTGCCAGGTTTGGCCTCAGTATGCCTGCATCTCCACCAAATCCCAGACCTGGGTGCATAAACTGCAACTATCAGTGTATTTCAGGTATCAAACTCGAGTTTATCATCAGTCTGTAACACTTCCTAATGCTTCATGTATGGTCATTTTCACCCCTGTTTTATGTTCAGATTAAACAAATAAGATACAATATGCTAAAAAGTGAGACATGTTTACAAGCCTGTTTTCCAGTTTTGGATGGTAACAATCTGGTACATCTTTATCCCCGCTTCAAAAATGTATGCTAATTTAGGCTTGTCACGATCCAGCTTGTTAGTAAAAAGGGGGGCATCATAAAACCTGCTTGGCAAAAAAGTTTACAGCTGGGAAAATTGGTATAGAAAAGTAGAGAGGAAAAATGCACAAAAGTTTAAAAGAATTGCTGCAGATATGCTTAAAGTTCAGAAAAATACTGTCCAGTCTTGGCACTAAAACTGTAGACCTTAAACATTATGCAAGTGTGGCATGATAGTTTTGGCTGTTGAACAAACAACAAACACATGTTACTGCCATGATGGCCAAACATTTTTAGATGCTCACTTGCATCTTTCATAATTATACATTAACAAATACTCAGAGTTTCAGCAGAGTTTCATCTGTTATTCCCATTTATGCCATTCTCCTGCTGAAAATTTATACTCTTTGGGCCTGATCTACTAAAGGTTAGTGTGTGCAAAAACACGTGCAAACTTGATAGCACACACAAAGCTAATCTACTAACCGGGTGCACCGAGGATTGCATCTGTTATATGAGCAATACAGCGCACGCAACCCATTTAGCGTGTTTGCCTTCATGAATATGCAGAATGTATGTAGATCATCAGACAGTGCAAAATTCTGATAGGAGCGGATGCAAATGGAATCATTTAGCACCTGCAATGTGATCAATCTAATCCAGAAACCAATTGCGGTTGCTGTTTTTTATTTATTTTCATTTAGCACATTTGAAAGGCACGTGCAAACTGGCACAGCGTTACGCACTTTTGTCCGCACTGCGGGGAGAAGGAGACAGAAGGGCAAAAGTGTTTTTCTAGTAAGTGAACGTTTTGATAAATAATTAAGTCAAACACGGAACAGACTCGCAAAATGTATGTTATTGTCTACTTGATTTTAAATCTCTCTTTTTTTTTCCATTTCAAATATATTCTCTTGCATCTTGCACTCTGAATTACCTTGTGTATAAATGGTGCTATACAAATAAACTTCCCTTGCCTTTAATGCAGTTGCTGGCTTTCCCAAAACGGTAGGTGCAGCATCATGGCTTCAAACTTAATTTCTCATCTACGATCACTCTGCTCTCACAAACTCTCCATGGTGACGGCCGATCGTGCACGCAAAATCCTCGTTCAAAGAGGGCGGTCCGCACCACTTTTGCTCCTGTTATCAATTGCTCACGCAATGATGGTAGATCACCCGACACACGCCAACTAATAACACATGCACTTTTTTAGTTTGCACACGCAATTTAGCAATCGATATTTGGGATCCTAGTAGATCAGGCCCTTTGTATGCACTACCTTGTCAAACTTGAAGACACAGGTTCACACATCAGCATAATTTTTTGCAGTTTGAGAAATGGTTCTTTAAACAGGCTAGTAGACTATCTAAATCCATTAGCAGTCAGTACATTATAACAGCTCGCTCACATTTCCTCATTAATAAAAAGCAGGATGGATCCTTTCCTTGTGTTACATGACACTAATGCCTTCCTGGTTTGGCTCTGGATATTCTGCATGACTTCCTGCATAATTCAACCTGATCTTTGCAGTAGACAACCACACTTCTTGTGCATTTTAAGTAACAGTGAAGCTTAGCTGCAGATAACTGCGGTAATGAGCTTGCACGAGATAGATGTGTGTTTGCTCTCCCCTCCTAATCAAAAACCGACCTCTGCAAATGTTCGCCGTCATCACTGTATTTACAGTTTAATGCTCATCATCCAATCTGGTTCTCCCACTACAGCTTGTGTCCCGTGACCCTCTTCTTGACTCTAGAGGTGGATGCAGTCCTGCACAAACAAGCCACGGCAATCAATAGCCAACCCAAACATATACCAGCAGTGTTCGCCTGTAGCCTCTATCTGTTTCTCGCAAGCGTCGGGTGTCTAAATAACCTTTTAGTGGGCCCAGGCAGGCGAGACAGATGACTTTCCTAAATGAAGCGTCTCGCTGATGCTGGCCTTAAATCAATGAAGGAGGCAGGTGTTGAAATGAAGGCCCTGCAGCATGAGTTTCCTGTGAGAGCGCTGGAAGCTGCAATGCTCCTCATATATTAATATTTTATCACTGGCACTCAGTCACTCATACCTGTGAGAAAATGTTGGGGCTATGAGCAAAACTGTGAGCAAATCCGACACTGGTTATTCATGATTGATTTTTACTTGAAGACTGTGAAATTATTTTTGTTGTTGTGGTTGTGCATCCATTTGAGTGTAAACTAACTCTGGCAATAATTTATAACAATTTGGATACTAATAAGCTACTGAGGGACCATTTATAAGTCTTGAAAGAGGACAAACTTCAAGACATTTAAAACATGCAAACAGATACCATGGCAAAAATAGGACATATCTGAATAAAAAAGCCCAGATTTTTGCACAATCAGGATAAGAAGATGGAAGAAACATGAATTAATACACTTCATAAAACATCAGACTTGCACTTTGGAGCTCTGTATGTGACATCAGTGTTAGATTTTACTTTCTAACACTAAAGGGCAGATAGGAAAAGACCTTTACATCCTTACATCTTCTGCACAATTGCAATTAGAGCAACTGTACCACCCATAAACTTTCCTTGTTTCTCATTTACTCTTCTCTCTTTGTCCTGAAACATCAGAAAACTTCGCAGAAAAGGAAAAACTAACTGTAAAATATCGTCTGATTCTGCTGGTTCCTAATTATTGTTTATGAGCTTTTGTCTTCATAACTGCTGGTCCAGTCAACAAATCATTTGACAACAGTTTGCTATCATTTTCGTGTTTTGCATCCAGAGTTAGACAGAGGCTCTAACCTGCTGTGTAAGGCCCTTTTATTGTGATGCAAATGTTGTCTCAGGGATTTTAGCTCCCAGTCAGTATGTTCATTGTGCATCCCTGACTTCCTGGTGCTCTGCAAATTTATGATGTTATTTGCAAATCAAATAGATCCGCTGGGACTCTGAGTGCATGAATTTCTGGTGCGTGTCTGATCCCAAACTTT